GGCGTTTGAAATCTGTTTTTGCTGCTTCAGATCATTTTCACTTGCTGTTCCCGTCGTCCGTTACAGTGCGAGCCTCCCCTAGAACTGATCAACCCTTGTGTGTAGATATCGGCCGAGCTTTTGGGAAGAAGTCAAGAATGCCTGGTTACAGTTCTTTGTCACTCTCATCCCGCTCTTGTGGATCGTACGCTTGGTGCAACGCTTCCTCTTTGAGCAACACGTAAGCTCCCACGACAGAGACAACCCACTGGGTTTTGTCTTGATCGACTCTCATGTTCTTCACTTGTCACTCTAGCTTTTGTCAACTCAGACATTCACAGACGTGGATGCGGAGCTGAGAAAGAATAACTAAGCCCAATACTGGCGATGTGCCGGCCCCAACCTGCTGTGCAGATTGACTGTTGGGCCAGCTCTGCAGCCAACCTTGAAATTTTGTGCCCGCATTACGTGCCGTGGCATTAGCTCATTGACATAATAGCATTTGAAGCTAAGCTTTGCTTTGCCACTTTCCAAGCGTCCTGCAGTTGATGAATGAGAAAGGAACTGCAGCAATGCAACAACAGATAAAGCGTGACAGGCGACAAAAGTTGAACATGGCATGGGGTTTGACAAAAGTTCAATTCGAAGCTTATTTGGCTCGCTTGGCGCGTTTGGAACGGGCACCGCCGTTGCGTGGCGTAAGGGCCTCCTGCTCCTTCTCGCTCAAAAGATCACGGGAGCAAGGGGCAGGCACCGCATAAGTCTTCAAAATTTCGCGTTCCGCCTATCATAATCCAGGCGCGCCCACACGCAAAGAAGAAAAAAAGGTTAGAAAAAATGTGAAACACAAGCGATTCTCTTCACAAGCTTGTCGCAAGTGTGTCCATACCTCAAGACATTCTGCCTTGTCAAGAATGATGTTTTTGCCGATGGAAAGCTCGAAGTGGACATATTTGTCGCTCTCATCCACCAGTTGCTTCAGGTGCTGCAGATTGCGGATGACCGTGTTGTTGCATTTGTGGATCCGACGAATACGGCTCATGTTGTAGCCGTGGTTAATGGGATGCGACAGCACGCTGACCATGACGACAATCTGCAAAAAAAGACGTATCAGGTCATTGCGAAGTTGGACATGACACACAGCGGGTCACGAGAAACGGCCGAAACCGGGCGCACCTGCTCGTCCTCGTGCGTCTTGGCCTTGCGGGAAGCTTCCCAGCTCTCATCGTCAAAGTCGTCGATGCAGGGCTCAATCAGCCCCGAGGTCATGGGCGAAAAGAGACAACCGCCAAAGATGAAATAGCTGGGCATGGTGCCGACCTCGCGATAGCATTCAACCAGCGGTGGGGTCACAGCACCCTCCAACTAAACAAAGGTTTTGTCAGAATAAGTGGCCGGGTGGTTTGGAGGTTAAATAGTTATCGACAATGCCAAGGCAGTGATGGAGTCTACATCGGTTTTCGATGCGATGCTTTGCAGAGGACATGCGGGTTTCGTGCTCCGAGGAAGACGTACCTCCAGGTTGACGAGCTCGCTGTCCCGCAACACAACCATTTTCATGGTCTTACCCAAGGGGTGAGATGAGATGGCATGTTGGACGCTGACGCGCTCTTCGCCGCGAAAGGGAATGGTGCCATCGTTGGCAACCGGATAGTCATTGATCTTGGTGATTACATCGCCAACCTTGACCTTGCCAGCAGCCGGGCCGAGCTGCGCCACCTTGATAACGTGGATGCCCGAGTGCTGCTCCATCTTCAGCTTGCGCTGCATTGAAGGGTTCTCACACAACTCGTAGCGAATACCAATGTCACACACGCCTGCCACGAGCCAAGGTTAGTTGCCAGGGCCAGCTGGTCCTTAAATTCAAACATGACCAAGGCACATATGTGTCTATGTGCACACATGCACACATCTGTACATGTTGAATAACGCGCACACGCAAGCATACCTGCACTGGTACCATTGGTGTTGATGGATGTCAGGAATGAGGTAATGACGGGTGTGGGGATGATGTAGCCAATGTTGTCAGCTGATCCGGCATAGCCGGAGAAGGCGACCCCAACAATGTCGCCATTCTCACGAAACACGGGACCTCCGCTGTTGCCACTGTTAATGGCAGCGTCAATCTGAATGTAGGCCATCGAAAATTTGAGCCAGAGAGAAGCGCAGGAATAAGGGGGAAACTCGCAAAGAAGCATTTTGGGCACACGTGTCCAAGTCAGACACGGGTTTAAGACTGGCAAGCAGGTATTTTCGTACCTGAATGGCGAGAAGTTCAGGGCCATGGCGGGGCTGGAACTTGACTTCTTCATAATTGAGGGTCGTAACGCGTGACACCACGCCACGGGTGAGAGACAGGGTATCGCCACCCATGGGATAGCCCAGGACGACCACGCGCTCGTCTAGGTCTGGGATGTCAGTGTTAATCTGTGTTTCATTGAACACGTGTAGCGGTTGGTTCAAGCAATGCAGGCAAGTGCAGATTTAATTTGCGTGAGTGCCCTCGAAGCCAGCAGTGAAGGGACAAGTGAGCGAGAGGACAAAAGGTACAGAAGCAACAGAATAGATGGGCACACCTGCAGTTGCTCAACGCCCTCCCAGAATTCGTCCGAGTCAATCTCAAGCAGGGCCAGGTCGCACGTGTGGTTGATGCACTACAAAAGAGTGCCAGAAAAAAACCGGGTTGAATGAAGAAAATGAAAACATGAAGGGACGACCAGGAGCCAGTAGGCCCACGCGACATGGCCCAGAGGGCTGGTAGCGCACCAAAACACGGGCCAGGTACTTGAATTGACCGCCATGCTTGCGGACGCGAACTTGAGTGTAGTTTGACACGACGTGGGCATTGGTAATGATACGCTATACCATCAGCCCATGTGCGAGGCGGGCGAAACAACGGTGAGGTGAGACTGACATGCGGCACATGGATGTCAAGCAACAGGAGTATCGCCTGCCTTCTTTTGCTCAAAGCTCCTTATGAATTCACATGTCCAAGAGCGACAAGCAAGGTGAATGGGGCACGCACCCGGCCAGCAACAAGAAAGCCAGAGCCAGAGCAGGCATCTGGGCCACCCATCTGCCAAGGTAGCAGATAGTTGGGCTTGGAGGTTACGGTGAAGATCTTGACCACAGAGCCGACGGGAAGTTTGTGCGTGATGCCTTGGGGGATGCCATCCACAGAGGCTGTAGCGGGCGCAGCCCCTTTGGACTTGCTCGTCATCACAAGCCTAGGCGCAGATGGTCGTTTCAACGTGAGTCGCTGCTGCCGGCTGGAAGCGTGGTGGGGCCAGTGGCAAGGAGGAGCACGGTGGCATAGCGATGGTAATTTGGTGAGGCGAGGTCAAGACGAGAGCAACGTACGACTCTTTGGCCGCAGCAGCATTGGCAGCACCACGACGGGTCATGGCTGCGGTGACGGACAAGCGAGCGAGGCTGGGGCGAAGGTGGTAGCGGACAGGACGGAAAGAGGCAACTGTGCCGAGAGTTGGCGCTTGAAACAGGCCCTTGGGATAGACAGGAGCAAGCTGGCGTTGCGACAACAGCGAAAGGCCAGCCCAGAGACGCCGACACGCCTTCATTGGTAGAGCCGCACGGGCTACGGAGAAGGAACCTCCACTGGGGGTGTCTTGGGAAAAAAGACCGTCAAGCCAGCCAGCCAGCGGACGAAAGCGTCTAGTATCTCTCTACAAATGCACACCCATGCAAACAAAGTGAATCAAGCACGCAGTCCAAACACTAGGGCGGGGGCTTCCCCACCGCACCCATTAGCAAACCCGACAAGCATCACAAAACACAGACGCCCCGTCACGTCCGCCCGCCGCTGCCACTGTCACCGCGACCGACACACGAGCGAACACCACACAGAGAGAGAGAGAGAGAGAGAGAGAGAGAGAGAGAGAGAGAGAGAGAGAGAGAGAGAGAGAGAGAGAGAGAGAGAGAGAGAGCATGAGCATCTGCTCTGACGTACTGTAAAAAATATCACACTTTCGCATTGTAATTCGAATGGTTGTCATAACGTTCAAGAATTATATTTTCGAGGGTATGTTTGATATTACGCTCTTCGCGTGTGTGATGTGTGTGTGTGTTGTCATACTTTTTAAATTTTATTTGAAATTTCAGTTTTTTTTACTTTTTCAAGGTAAACAATTGTGTGTGTGCGCCGTTCAGAAGCAGCGGGCGGCGCTCGGGGTACTGGTGGCGTGAAAGACAGTTGGTGGTGGTGGTGGGGGGCGGGAGTGAGGGGGCTAGTAGTATGTATGGACTTGATAGCTCACGGGAGTACACTGCTTGTTGGTTGGTGCCCTTCTGATTGGCTTGTGTAGCTCAGGAAGACTTGAAGCTTGTCCTTGGCGACGTTGCATGGACACGCCTCCCTTGGTGATAGTTCTGGTCTAAAGCCATTGCAGAGATACCTTGCTTCGACCGTCGCCATGTCACAGCAGGGTGCCACCCTTCAAGCCTACAACAATGAATTGGTCAAATGTAAGGGCTCTCGCTCACACGCTCTGGACTCCCTCCCACCCGCGTTTTTTTTTTTTTTTTTTCAAATTAATTCTTGAGTTTTGGTCTCGATCACAGGCATCGAGGATCTGAAGCGCAAGCGTGAGGAGCTGCATGCCCAAATCTTGGCAGAAGAAGAAGAAAAGCTTGCGGTAAGATCCCAGCCTGCTGGGTTGGTGGTCATTGGCATTCTGAAGCGAATGTGCTTCAGTGTCGCTCAAAGGCCCTCCGTTGCTGGCACTTGCTTCTCTCATCACGATCTCACTTTGGCCCTTGGTTCTCAGGTGCAAAACGATCTGCATATCCTGACCGAGCGTCTGAACCGCATCACGGAGAGCCTCACGCGAAAGCAAGCCACGCGCACCGAATACGACCGCACTATCGCGGAAACCGAAGGAGCATATTTCAAGGTACAACCCACCCTTCCCTTCATGCACGCCCTTGCCTTGCTTTATTACTTCATGCCTCCCAGACTCATGACCAACATCCCATCCTTTATAGATTTTGGAAAGCTCCCAGAGCCTTTTGCAGGTGCTCAAGCGTGACAGTGTGGCTTTGCAAGAATCGGGCGACAACTCTTCTTAACACACACACACACACACACACACACACACACACACACACACACACACACACACTTGCGCGTCTCGTTTCGCTGGCAACGCCTGCTGAGCAGGCTGCGTCTTTTCATTCCATTGGACGCCCAATTTCTTGTGCGACGCGGTCTATGCGCAAACTTCATTTGAATGAGACGATCACTCTGCTCATGGGGCAACTTTGCCTCGACGATTCCGTGATGCCCTCTTCAAGACGCCTGGCTTGTGCGCCAGACCCTTGTCAACACGACATTGCGAATCGTTGGCTGGTGGGTGCACATGATCTCGAACATCTGATCTGAACCTTCTTCTTTGGCAAATATTTTCTGGGTAAATTCATAAATTCAAAGGGGTAGAAGCCGCGGCCACAAAGGGATCACAAAAGAAAAAAAAAACACACATACACAAACCGTTCAAGAGAATTGTGTCGTCTTTCTCGCCATGATTGTGATCATTCCGTCATAATCATCTCTTGTCTGAGAAAGACCCGTCCATCATTTAGAACATCAAAGTCAAGGCACGCGGGCCGTACAGGGGTCGCGTCATCCCACCTCACGCAGGACGAGAACAAAACAAAAAGAACAAAATAAAGAGCAGCTCTTCAGTTGAGTTGAGGCATGTGTAGGAGAACAAGGCCACTTATGAGGAATAAGGGTGAAGTGAACACAGAACAAGTCAAAAAAGAAAGAAACAACAATGCTTATGGAAAGCATGGCAGCGTTTCTTCGGAGCCCGGATAGCAAAGCCCAGAGTGTGCTCTACGTGCATCTACGACTCGCTCCCCTGGGGCGTGGGCTTGCCAGGCGCCTCCGACAAGGAGGGCAATGGCTGGCGCTGCAGGGCAGGCTTAGGCAGCGTCATTCCTTGTCCAGGACGCGGCAGACTCATGGGCCGCCCGCTTGCTCCGGGACCACCCAAAGTCGGGGGCATGCTGGGCTTCTTCAAAGATCCTAGACGAGTCATGGGACTGCCGGTGGACATGGGTGCACTTGCCCCAGAAGGCATGGTCATGCCAGCACCTCCCAGCATGGGCATGCGGCCCGGACTAGGAGCCCCAATGCCCGATGGACCAGAGAGGCGACGCAAAGAGTCACGGTTTGGTAGGCCAGGACGACCAGCCGCAGGCCGGGCGAATGGGTCAAGCTTTTCCTTGCTGTTATGCCGTGCGAGCGCAAACGGATCGCCCTTGTTCGACGCTCCACGTGCCGGCAAAGATTGCGGCTGATCAGCAGTCTGCCGCGTCAAGTCCTGTAGCACCGGGCGTCGCATGCCCATGGGTGGGGGTGGAATAGCTGAAACCTTGCTGGGAGATGCAAAACTAGGGCGCTTCGCATTTCCACCCAGAGAAGGCATGCGAGCGGGCAATGCAGGCAATGTCTTGGGCATTGCGCTGTTGTCATGGCGGCGCAAGGGGGGCAAGGTACCGCCCGGCGACGTCGGGCTGGCCATCGGGAGCGCGGAGCCAGCATGGAAGGGTGAAGGCACGGGCACAGGCACAACGGCTGGAGCCACCGTGGCGTCGGCAAAGGGGTCGTGCGAGGTCTGAGCTTGTGGCGCCTGCATAAAGAACGGGTCATAGGGAGCGTTGCCGTTGCGGAGACCGGGGGCTCGAGGCACACCGCTGCCCGCGAAAGGATCGGACTGAGACCGCATGCTGGCGCTGGCAGGTGGCTTTTGCCACACCTCCGCAGCATCCAACGGCGGGCTGGGCTTGCCCTTGGAGCTGCGCATGGCCCGACGCGCTTCCCGCTGCTTGGCACTGCCACGACAGCAAAACCAGAACACGACGATGGCCAACACAGGCACAATCAAAAGGAGAACCAAAAAGTAGAGGTTCGAGCCATCCGCCTCCATGGTACTTGAGCTCCAAGAAGCATCAGCCTCGGCTGCTACAAACTCTTCACTGGCGCGGCATGAAGTTTCGAGTCGGTTGCACACGCCCCAAAAGCCGTTGGCACTAGCCGTCCCGCAGGGCGATGGATCTTCGCGGCACGGGTCCTCATACGAAGTCGATTTGAAGGCAATGCGCAATTGATCCAGGTAGTTGGTCAGCGCTGCACTTGACTCATCCGGCTCATGGACGGTGATGACCAGCGTCTGGCGAGAAATCCATTCACCTTCACAGGCAGCGGTTGTGTTTGCACAAAGTGCTGGCGAGAAGGTCAGCAAACTGTCCAGATCACTGCCCAGAATGGTCAGATCCTCAGAGGCGCTGGCAGGTGTGTTCGTGTCCCGATCGAATTTAATTGAGAGAGTGCTGCCTGCAATCAGGAAGCCGTCGGAACCAGAGAGCTCGACGCTGCTAATGACAGGTGTTTGTACTGGGCTGCCACGGAGATACACGCCCGACGCCTCCATATTGTCCAATAGGTATTGCTCCAGCCGCTCCTCAAAGTCGGCCAGAAGTTCGGTGGAGTTGCCACCCGTATCGTCGGCAACGAGTGCAGCCATACCTTGGTGGAGGAGGCCAGCCTGCAGGGCTGCCAGCAGTGCTTCAGAGTCCGTAGGATCCACAAGTGCGTTTGTGAGTCGGGCAATGTCCATCACCAACTGCATTGTGCTTGGTGACCCCGCTGCGTCACGACGTCGACGCGCACCGCTTGTAGCCGATGCACCGCAACTGGACGCAGGAATGCTCTCGGGCTCGAATGTGCAGCGGTACTCTGTCTCAGTCATGTCAATCAGCTCCACCGTACCATCGTCAAACACCACCTGACACTCGATCGAGCTCTCTCCGTTGGAGCCCAGCACGCTCATATCAAAAATGTCCGCGCTGTCCAGCATGCAAAGCCGCGCCATCGTACTCGCCGACAGCGGGGGCTGCAGAGACATGGTGATGACAGTACCACTGCCCAGGTAGCTGCCTTGCACATTGATGGGCTGCACCACGTTCGCGCCGATCACCAGGGGGAATGCAAGGCCAAAATGACCCCTGAAGCCAGCGAAGCTGGCATTGCTGTGTCGGCTCAGCCCTGCTGCATCCTGCAAACACAAGCGGTTGGGCGTCACCACCTCATAAACCTCACTACTTTGAGCAAAACCACTGCAGTCAACGCTTTCCGAGGCGCGCAATGCAAATGTTGTGCGACTCGTTTTCATAGTTGGCTCTGGGTAGCCCACATCTACCATGACAATCACCAGTTCACGGGCGTTTCGCCACAGGCCGTAGTATGCGCCGCTTGCCGTTGAGGTCGTCAAGTTGGGCGAAAACTGGAAGAGACGCTCCAGGTCGCTCTGCGAGATGACCAAGTCTGCTACTCCGTACGGTGGCATATTGGTGTCACGATCAAAGGCAACCAGCCATCGGTCGAGCGCTCCATAGCGGGCGTCCGTATCCATGCGTCCCGTACAAGTATAGCTGTTGAGCTGCACCTCCCGGGTGTCGTCCTCCAAGTCATAGCAGGCTTGAAGCACCGTCACCGATGCAATTTCGGGGGCCGGCGTGGCCACCTGCACGCGCACCCGTGACTGCGTGCACGCCCCAGCATGGTCGCAAATGCTATACGAGAATGTGTCAGCGCCGGCAAAATCGGTATCAGGCTGATAGACCAGCTCGTACGTTGTGTTGCTGAGTACAATGCTCGCCACACCATGGCTTGGAGCGATGCTGACGCTGAGGGACGTGACAACGAGATCGGTCTCCTCCACCAGGCCAAAGTCAGCTGGAGTGAGGTTTTGCTCAAGCAAGGTAGCGTACTGGCTTTCGTCCTCGTCCGATACGTGCGCAAGCGGGTCAAAAACCGCATTCACATTCACAGACGTAATCTTAGCCAGGGGCGGCACGACGGGGGCATCATTGATATTGACGACACGGAGCTCAACGGTGACGTTGAGGCAGCCCTCGGAGCTAAAAGTGAGATCCCGCTGACGCACGCATGCTGGATCTGTGCTGGGGACGATGCGTCCCAGCTCAAGATCACGCTCCGAACTACATTTGTCGCACACTCGGAACACAAAGCTGTCCATGCCCACGTAATCGCTTGCTGGGTCGTAGCTAATGATGCCGTACTGAGAAAAGGGGTTGACTTCACCATGCGCCGGAGGCACCATGATATCCAAGCGTAACGCGACCTCTTCATCGCGCGTCATGGCATCTGCAAATGACTCGGGCAGGTCGGGATCGTTGTACATGGCATACACCGCCACCATATTCATGCTATCTTCCTCAACGTCGTACGGCAGGAGTGCAGCGTAGTTGGCCGAGAGACGGGGCGGGTCATTGACTGGAAGGACTGTGATTCCAATCAGCCCACGCGAACATGCGCCCTCGTCATCGCAAATTTGATACGTCAGCTCGTCCGTGCCAAAGTAGTCGGCATCAGGCGTGTAGGTGGCTGTTCCCAAATCGGCAGAGTAGTTGACTTGACCATGGGTTGGGAAAGAGACGATGCTCAGATCTTCTGGACTCACAGAGCGACGGCGGTTCTCAACGTCAGAAGTGAGGGGGAAGAGAGGGAAGTTTTGCGGCACATCCTCAAAGACAGTGACGTTCAGCGCCAACGCCACAGGCACATCGTTAACAGGTCGAATCTGGACCCCAACAACCTGTTGAACACAGGGCAGGGTAGTAGAGCAGACCTGCAGCTGGAAGGCAGCAGCGCCAAAGTAGTTGAGAGCTGAAACCAACACCAAAGCGTCAGTACTTGCATCGTAGCTCACGTTGAGGTTGGAGGAGAGTGAAGTGACAGTGATCCCAGTCCCCCAGATGCTGTCATCAGGATCGGACAGGTACGGCATAAGAGCCAGCGTGCTGCGAACGTCCTCGTCGATTGTGACATTGCGAAGAGCGATGCGAGGCGCATCATTCACCGGCAAGACAGTGAGATCGATGGTGTGATTCACACACAGAGCCTGGCTATCGCAGAGCTGCACCACGATCGTATCGGGTCCAGCGTAGTCGGCTGCTGGATGAACAGTGAGAACATGGTTGCCTCGACTTGAATTATAAGACAGCGACGCCACACCGTGGGTGGGCGGCACTATCAAGTCGGCCAAAATGGGTGTACAGAAAGCAGTGATGGCAGCGTTGTACGGGCACGCATCGTCCTCCACATCACTGGCCATAATCTCAATTGTGGTATTAATGTCCTCCGTGATGGCAAGCCCCACGGCCGGTGCCACTGCAATGGCGTCATTGACTGGTGTGATGGTCAGGTGAAGCGTCATGTTTGTGCAGGCGCCTGCTGAATCACATACGCTGAAAGCGATCGAAGCTGGTCCGACATAGTTTTCGGCGGGTGTAAATGTGACTTGTCGCGCATCAGGGTCGAGCACAAGTGACAGCAGGCCCGTGGTACTGGGCTGGGCTGCAGGAATGGTCACCGTAAGTGGCTCGACTGTCGCATTGGGGGGCTGGAAAGGCTCTAGCTTGTAGTCTTCCACGTCATAATAGAAATCGTCCAAGCTGAGCACAGTCTCGGTATCCTCGACAACGGATGCATTGAGGACTGGGTAGCGCGGCCGAGGGGCATCATTGACAGGCTGCAAACGAAGTGTCATGTTGTGCTCAACCGAGCATTGGCCCGACGCGCACACTCGATATGTGACAACACGATCTCCATAGTCCTCCGTCAAGGGTGTGAAACGAATGACAGCACCGTCCAAGCTTGCGTTGGTCCAGGCACCGGTCGCCACAATCTCCGTGGTCAGGGTATCATAGGCGTCCGTTGCATTGGGGCGGGCCTCTGCATCCAGGAAATATGGCCGTGGGTCAAACAAAACAGATGCCGTGTCCTCGAGAGCCTCTTCAAGCACGGGCAAGGCAGCCACTTGGGCCAATGGAACATTGTCCGTCGCCAGCACTGTCACATTGGTTGTGAGCAGGTTGCTGCTGGCGTTGTGTGGGTCCAGAACCATCAAGTTGAGCACTCGTGGGGCATCAAAGGCAGTGTCATGCTGAAGGTTGTAGTACGAGATGCGCTCAATGAGCTGTACAGCATCAGTCAAAGACATCGGGCCGTAAAGCTCGAGGACGGCGCCAGCCCGCACCCATGCCGCAGCATCCGTCAGGTTTTGCGCCAAGAGTTCGCGCTCGTAATCAGATCCTATCGCTGCGGCGCGCTCAGCGGGTGAAGACGGACCAGTGGTCGGCAAATCAGGGACAAAGACGGACTCATAGGGCGTGGCATCGAGGAGCTCCACCCGAATGAGTGAAACGGTCGTGTCGTCAGCGTCACTGAGAGCCAAAGAAAACAGCGGAATGGGTGTGGCATCTTCCACGTAGTTAACGCTGCCATTGACCAGAGCCAACAGGCGGGGCGCATCATTGACGGGCACCAGCTCCACGAAAACGGTGTATTGAGGTCCTGCCAAGCCCTCCGGATCGACGATTTGCAATGTGATGGGTACTTGGGCCTCAATCTCTTCATCCCGATAGCTCACAAAGTGCACATTTCCGATTGCAACGGCAGCCTCGAGGAGCGTGGCATTGCTGGCCACAATAATCTGCTTCAGAGAAGCTCGTGCTAGCGTGCAGCCGATCTGGCACACCTCCATTTCATCACCCAAGTCAAAGCAAGCGTCAACACAGCTGGCTCGCAGCTGGGTGGCCGTTTCACTTGCTGCCAAACCCCGCTCACACAAGAGGGGGCATGCCTCGCCCTCGTTGATCAGGGCCATCTCGGTGGCATTCAGGACATCCGAGCTGAGATTGACAAAGTGAATCGCAGCAGTAGAGTCCACAATGTGGTAGCCATAGTGGTTTTGAAGTGAGGAGTCGATCAAGCCCATGTAGAGCGAGCTGCTGCTGGAAGTCTCATTCCAGCCTAGCCAGCCGAGGTATGTGCCGGCCGCGGTCAGCTGACCAAGAGCCTCATCGGTCAACACCAGAGTAAACGGCATCTTGTCGTTGTTATTATTGCCCCCGCCAGCACCAGAGCCGGAGAGTTGCTCTTCGCCGGACCCTGAGGTCCAACCGGAGCTAAAGTCACCCAGGTCTCCGGAGCCCGAACCATCGTCAACGGTCGGCGAGGAAGCGTTTGGCATAATGTATTGCACATGGTCCGAAAGGCCTTGAGTGGCATTGAAAATGGCCAGCCAGGTGCTTGGCAACACTTGTGCAAGAGCTTTCACCACAACATCATGAGCAGCTTGATTAGCAAAGGCTCGGTTGGCATTCAAGCGCAACGTGGCGTACAGCTCGTCCACAACGTACTCCGACACGATGTCAGAGTTGTTGAGATTGTGAGGCGGCTGTTCTGTGAATGGCAATCCAGATGGCTCTGTGTGCCAATAAACGACCAGATGGTCGGCTAGCTCCGCAGTCATGCAAGTGGCAAAGACGTCCAAATTGATGATGGGAAGTAAGTCAGCTGGCTCCAGAAGCGTGGCCACGGCGTTGGCATGTGCATTGGCATGATTCTGCTCTGCAGTCGCACAATCGGGAGTGTCCTCGGCATGTGACGGGCATGCAGCGTCGCGTGCTTGTCGGCTTGGGTTTGTCAACGTAAAGTAGACATCCACAATGTCGTTTTGAAAGGCCGGCACATCAATGACTTGAGAGTCTTCAAAGCTAAAGGTAATGCGGTCGGGATTGTAAACACCCAGCTCGTCAACTTGATGAAGGTAGTCGGTAATTTTGTCTTCAAGGGCGTCAAGCTGACGGACGGTGGCGAGAATGAGCAAGCGCCGCAAATCCTCGGAGCGGTTGGCACTGAGCGCTGCCAGCTCTGCGAAGATGGCCGTATCATATGCTGTTGCCAGCCATGCGTCAGCCTGACTCCAAGCCACGGTGTTGTTGACAACGTAGCGAAGATCAGCTTGTGTGCGAGCATAAGCACAGCCTTCTTCACACACAGCTTGGGCAGACAGCAACGGCCATGATAAGCGGTTTGCCAATAGCACGTGTTCCTCCCGACTCGAATTGAGTACCAAGGTAATACGCGAAGCAACGGTGTTATCAGCATCATAAAACTCAAGGGGTGACGGAAACACTGCCACAGCGGGGCCTTCCTCAATGAATGTTACATTTTGCAGAGTGGCTTCCGGCTCAAGAACCACTGGGGCATCATTCACAGCCTGTACTAGAACAGATGCGTTGTAGAGAATAGACGTGCGCAGGCCATCATGCAGAACAATGTTAATGAGTCGCTGGCCAGGCGTGGGGTCGCCACCATCACGATGCTGATAGGCCATGTCCCGAAGAGCGGCTTCAAAGTTGCGAAGAGAAGCCGGGCCCAGCAGCAGACAGCCAGAACCGGCCACACACTGGGCAGAAATGTTGACGTGCTGGCCCTCGTTGAGCAGCAACAGAGTCTCGTTGACTCCGTCAACGGGGGCAACCAAGGTGAGCGAAACGGAGGCCAGAGTGGCATTATCGTTGTCATCCAAACTCAAGCTGCTACCAAACAGCAACACCGATGATTCGTCCTCGACAAACGTCGGCACGGGGCCTTGCAAATTGGAAGCAATGGGACGATCGTTGTGAACACGGATGGTGACGAGGAGATCGCCCTCGTAAACGCCGACGGAGTCTTGCAGTTCAAAGCGCACAGTGCGCGGAATGCCCAAGGTCTCCTCCGCGTCGTTGTGATAGGCCAAGGTACTCAAAATGTCGTTGACTGTCGCCAGGCTCACAGGGCCCGGAATGACGACGACTGAGCCTGACCGCACTTGATCCATATACCACAAGGATACGTACTCTGTCCCGACGGCGTACTGAGGATTGGTGACGGAAACAGTCAGATTGTCATACATGAACTGGCGGGCGTACTCAGAAGCGTTGACGGTCATAGGCACCACGAGAGGCTCATCGGCGTCGGTCACTGCAACAGCGTCGCCCAGGAACAACGTCGTATTGAAATCTTCGTAAAATACAATGCGATCCACAATGTCAAACAAGGGCGCATTGTCGTTGACAAGCTGAAACTCGATGGTCAGCACAAGGGGCACACTGGTCAAAGATGCATCATCTGTCACCGTGAGTAGTACCTCGCGCACAAAGCCAGCAGGCTCTGCTTCTTCGTTGGAGAACACGACACTGTTGAGGCAGGTCTGGTACTCTTGAATCGTGGCCACACCGCTCAAGCTGAGGGCATATGTTGAGGTGTTGAATTGGGCATTGATGCCATTCGTGCTGCAGTCCACGCTCAAGCGATCCGTCGTAAGGGACTGATCAGGGCTTGTGAGTGCCAACATAGCTGATTGCACAAAGTAATAGTTGTTGTGGTCCTCGTCGCGAAGAGTAAGATTGGCCACACTTAAGCCCAATGGCCCACCTTGTTCCGTGAACTGAAGCACGGGCTGGCTGGCTTGAAGCACAGGCTTATTTTCGGCAATCAGCTGCACAGAAACTGAGATGCTGCGCTGTGTCACGTCAATACCATCGTCGGCCAATACTGACACCGAGCGCGTGCCGTTGTGGGGTTCGGGGTGAACGTTAACGTAGGCAAGATGCTGCAAGAATGCACTGGCTGCCGTAACGGGAAGCTGGTTATCCAGGCCCATCGCTTCACATCGCAGCGTTGAGCTGTTGCGTTGGCAGGTAACACCGATAGAAAAGCCCAACACGTCAATAGGTGACGATGTTTCGATGTTCCAGTTTGAGAACACCAGCTGCTCGTTAGCACCATCCATGATGCCATCAAGGGTGACTGCCAATCGAGTAAGATTGGCGTTATCGACATCTACTACGTGAGCCGAATGATTGACCGCCAAACTAACAGGTGTGGCACCCTCAACATAGACGGCTGTGTAAGGTGGGGAAGCGCCACCAATAAAAATGACGGGTGGATCGTTCACTGAGACCACGCTCTGAGTAATGCGCGCAGACAAAGCGGAGAATGCCGTGGTGGCCTCGGTCGTATCAACGGCAATACTTCCGGAAACGCGGCCATCGGTATGATCCCATCCTTTTGCGATCAAATATGGGGTATCGTCAGCAGCACGCACGCGACCTGCAAGGTCAAACTCTGTGTTGAAGTTTGCAGCAGGAACAAAGCGAATGCGGCACTCAGGACCCAGCAAGGTGGCGGAAGAGGTCAAAGGCCGCGGTGGGTAGACCTGGCCGTTGATAAGAATACCGCCAACAAAGTCCTTAAATGTAACGCCGTCACACGAGTATTGCCAAGCGCCAAACCGCTGGTCAATTTGGGTAATAGCAAGGCCGAGGGTGGAGTTGTGACCGGATGGGGTGGCTCGATCAACATCATAGTACGACGAGCGAACAAGAACAGGAAGGGAGGTGCCGTTGTTTGCCAAGTCGTCCTCATGAATGGCCTCCAGATAGCTACCATTGATCAAAACAGGGGAATCGTTTACGGAAAGGACTTGAATGTCGGCATAACCGCGGGTCGTGCTGTAAGCACCCGTCACAGCATCAGCGGCCGCCACGTCTACATAGGTGCCTGGCGTGGCACCATCTGATCCATCCCACACGGCATACGTCAAAGTACTCGACTCGTGGTAGTCTGCCTCGGGAACAAACCGAATCAACATTGAAGATGTCGGCGCACTGGCCATGACAAAGGCATGGTCCGGCGCCACCGAAGTCAGGTCAATCCAACTGCTGCCCCCGTCCACCGAGGCGCTCCAAGAACCGTGGGTGGCATCAACAGCCGTCACCGCCAAGCCATAGTCGCGAACCTGCAAGCTACTGCCATCATCGACATCGGCAATGCCGCTACCGTTGAGAACATCCCACACGCGATTCCACGTGCTTGCCGTCAGACCAGCATCATCCTCAGGTATATCATGCAGCTGGAAGCGAACACCAGCGCTGGTGAAAGTGGGTGCATCATTGACGGGGGCGACGTTGACCACAATATCCGTGGTGGCCGAGCTAAATGCACCACGACCGTCGGGTGCATAGGTCGCGTCGACCATGGCTCCAGGCGTACCGGCATCGCTCTGATCCCATGCAACCACGGTCAGCGTGGCTGCGCCGTGAAAGTTGGCATCCGGCACAAACCGAATGCTCACATCACTGGATGAGGGCAGAAGCACGGCACTGGTGCGGCTCACGGACACGGAAAACATGGTGGTCCACGCTGCGGCCGAGGTCAAGCGATACTGCCATAAGCCGTTGGCTTGGTCTACGCCAACAACGGCCAAACCATACAGACTGCTTCGGTCATCGTCCTCCAACACGGCATTGGAGCTCAACACGACAAACGTGCTCAAACCAGGGTTGGCAGAGCTCACCACATCCTCATCAATAGCCAGGGCCACAGGTGCCACGCCAGTAAAGCGCGGGCTGTCATTCAGCATGGCAATGGCCACACTGACTGTGCGTGGTGTGCTCCACGCCAGACCATCCCAAGCCTCAACAACAACTTGGCGGGTTGTGTCATCGGGCTCGTCGGCCTGGTTGACGTAGTACACCAGGTTGAGAATGTGTGTGTAGTCCAATACGGTGTCAAGACCCGTCAGAGTCAGGCTGTTGGAAACAGCATCATAGGTGGCACCAGGGTCCACAACGCGGAATCGTGTTTGACCGTTACCAGCCGCCTCACTCTCCTCAAAGGGCGTGTAGCCCAGGCTCTCATCCGCACCATCCAGAGGGTTGCTGATGGTAAGGCGCACGGCAGCCAACGTCGCATTGTCAATGTCAAACATGGTCGCAAGGGGAGCAATGAGCACGCCATCCGATTCTTCGACAAAGGTAGCCGAGGCGTCCTGGCTGGCGGCGCTGGCCGAGTCGAGATCGATGTAAGGCTCATCATTGACGGCCTCGAAGGTGATACGGGATTCGGCTGTGTTACTCCAGTCGATGCCGTCAAACGTCCTGACGGTGATGACACGGGTAGCAGCGGTGGGGTTGCCACGGTCGTAGTCATAGCGGCTGTTGTAGTACTCAACCTGGCTGAGAAGCGCCACATAGTTGGCAAGGCTATCTTCTCCGGTGATGGTGAGGGTGTGGGTGTTGTTATCGTATGTCACGGTCAAAGCCGGGAAGGTGCTGGCCACGATAGTGCTGTTGATCCGCAACAGGTCGTCTTGGCCGTCAAGGGGATTGGTCAGCACCACCTCGGCCTGCACCTGGGTGGCGTTGTCGTTATCTTGCAGCGTCGCGGCGGGGGCAACCATGACACTGGCTCCTTCCACTAAATCTGCGTATGCGACCTCTCCAGCAAAGCTGCTGTCAAGGTCTAGAATTGGGGGGTCATTGACTAGTGCCATTGCAATATCAATGACTAAAGGTACCGTGCTACCACCAACAGCATCGGTGATGATGATGGTGACTAAACGCTCTCCAGCAGATGGCTCGTTAAGATTGTTGACAAAGACCAGCTCATGCAGAATAGTGTTTGCTCGCAACATGGAGAGTGAATTTGTGCTTGACGTAATGGTCATCACCAACGACGTTGACGTATTGACGACGATTGCAACATTTTCATTGGCTGCAGGAGTCCAGTGCAGTAGATCAGCAAAATCATGACGATCCATGGACAACTGCACTTGACTGCACAGTGCGTTGTCTGCGTCAGCAACGGTCACTGAAGTCGGCACTATGTCCAGGGGATCTTGCTCTTCCATGAAGGTGTGCGACAGGATCGTGCTTGAGAAGATTGGCAAGTCATTGACAGACGTGACGGCCATCCGCAGCTGGGTTGTTGATGAACTAAAAGGGCTGCTAGATGAGGACAAAGTCGCTGACAAATCGTGGCCGTAGCGCTTCGTCAGCGTGGTCGGTGTGGTCATATCCCAAGCATGAACAGTAAGAAAAGGTCGTACATCACCTGGCCATGCTGTCCCCGTGGTATCTTGTTGTGTATTAAAGTTTGTAGTGGGTACAAAGCGAATGCGGCAGTCAGCATTCAATAGAGTAGCAAATTGCTGGGATGGCAGTGTCGGAAACACTTGACCATTTGCCAGGACATCACCCACCATGGCAGTAAAAGATGCCATCTCACTGCATCGGTAGTACCACACACCATACGTTGTGGGCGAAGCAACAACAGCAACACCAAAGTCGGTGTTGTCCACATCGGCAAACGCCTGATCGAACAGGACGTCAACTCGGGTGCCGAGCTGAGAGGGTGAGTCTTCGACCATGGTGGCAGTTTTGGAAGATACAATGGTTGGAGGGTCGTTCACGGAAAGGACTTGAATGTCGGCATAACCGCGGGTCGTGCTGTAAGCACCCGTCACAGCATCAGCGGCCGCCACGTCTACATAGGTGCCTGGCGTGGCACCATCTGATCCATCCCACACGGCATACGTCAAAGTACTCGACTCGTGGTAGTCTGCCTCGGGAACAAACCGAATCAACATTGAAGATGTCGGCGCACTGGCCATGACAAAGGCATGGTCCGGCGCCACCGAAGTCAGGTCAATCCAACTGCTGCCCCCGTCCACCGAGGCGCTCCAAGAACCGTGGGTGGCATCAACAGCCGTCACCGCCAAGCCATAGTCGCGAACCTGCAAGCTACTGCCATCATCGACATCGGCAATGCCGCTACCGTTGAGAACATCCCACACGCGATTCCACGTGCTTGCCGTCAGACCAGCATCATCCTCAGGTATATCATGCAGCTGGAAGCGAACACCAGCGCTGGTGAAAGTGGGTGCATCATTGACGGGGGCGACGTTGACCACAATATCCGTGGTGGCCGAGCTAAATGCACCACGACCGTCGGGTGCATAGGTCGCGTCGACCATGGCTCCAGGCGTACCGGCATCGCTCTGATCCCATGCAACCACGGTCAGCGTGGCTGCGCCGTGAAAGTTGGCATCCGGCACAAACCGAATGCTCACATCACTGGATGAGGGCAGAAGCACGGCACTGGTGCGGCTCACGGACACGGAAAACATGGTGGTCCACGCTGCGGCCGAGGTCAAGCGATACTGCCATAAGCCGTTGGCTTGGTCTACGCCAACAACGGCCAAACCATACAGACTGCTTCGGTCATCGTCCTCCAACACGGCATTGGAGCTCAACACGACAAACGTGCTCAAACCAGGGTTGGCAGAGCTCACCACATCCTCATCAATAGCCAGGGCCACAGGTGCCACGCCAGTAAAGCGCGGGCTGTCATTCAGCATGGCAATGGCCACACTGACTGTGCGTGGTGTGCTCCACGCCAGACCATCCCAAGCCTCAACAACAACTTGGCGGGTTGTGTCATCGGGCTCGTCGGCCTGGTTGACGTAGTACACCAGGTTGAGAATGTGTGTGTAGTCCAATACGGTGTCAAGACCCGTCAGAGTCAGGCTGTTGGAAACAGCATCATAGGTGGCACCAGGGTCCACAACGCGGAATCGTGTTTGACCGTTACCAGCCGCCTCACTCTCCTCAAAGGGCGTGTAGCCCAGGCTCTCATCCGCACCATCCAGAGGGTTGCTGATGGTAAGGCGCACGGCAGCCAACGTCGCATTGTCAATGTCAAACATGGTCGCAAGGGGAGCAATGAGCACGCCATCCGATTCTTCGACAAAGGTAGCCGAGGCGTCCTGGCTGGCGGCGCTGGCCGAGTCGAGATCGATGTAAGGCTCATCATTGACGGCCTCGAAGGTGATACGGGATTCGGCTGTGTTACTCCAGTCGATGCCGTCAAACGTCCTGACGGTGATGACACGGGTAGCAGCGGTGGGGTTGCCACGGTCGTAGTCATAGCGGCTGTTGTAGTACTCAACCTGGCTGAGAAGCGCCACATAGTTGGCAAGGCTATCTTCTCCGGTGATGGTGAGGGTGTGGGTGTTGTTATCGTATGTCACGGTCAAAGCCGGGAAGGTGCTGGCCACGATAGTGCTGTTGATCCGCAACAGGTCGTCTTGGCCGTCGAGGGGATTGGTCAGCACCACCTCGGCCTGCACCTGGGTGGCGTTGTCGTTATCTTGCAGCGTCACTGCGGCTAATGCGGTTTGGACGCCACCCTCGACGTAATGGCCAGCCACCAAACTCACGTTGAGCACCGGGGCATCGTTGTCGTTTGCCAGCCACCAGCTTTGTTGGTAAATGTTGGACCGCGCACCATCATTATCCATGATCTGAATGGAAAGTGTGCGCAAGCCACTTGTCGGTTCCTCGAGTTCGTGGGTGTACACCAGTGCCTTGGCTGCCGCGGTGGCCTGTGCCCGAGTCAGGGCATGTGTGTTGTTGCCAGAGAGAATGAGGTGCAGCATGTTCGAGCCATAGTAGCCATTCACAACCAGGTTTGCCGGGGCGGTGTACAAAGTCAAGGTTGCCAGCGACTCCTGACTCCCGTCAGGCGCTGTCATGTTTATATACATGTAAGAGACGTAGAGATCGTCCGGGTCCTCGAGGCTCCAGTTGTCAGGAAAGACGAGAGGATAATAGCGATTGTCCTCGCGCACTGTCTCGGTGCTGGGGCCCGTGCCAACAATGCTGGGGCTATCGTTGACTGAGAAGAACTGAATGCATGCGGCACTGGTGTTGAGGCTGAATTCGCCCGTCCCGTCATATGTGGCTGTCGTGTCGACACCATACTTGCCTTGCTGTCCACGCGTGGCGCCAGTGTTATCCCATCCTTTGATGACGAGACAGGGGCGCACGTCCGTGGTCCAGGGGTTCCCATTGGCATCGACGTCTGTATTGAAGTTAGTCACGGGCAAAAAGCGAACAGTGCAAGCAGCACCCAACAAAGTCGCCTGAGTTGGTGAGGGATCACGAGGGTAAAGCGATCCGTCTGCCAAGCGATTGCCAAAAATGTTGGTGTAAGACACCCCATTGCAGGAGTATTGCCACGTGCCATATGTACTATCAGCGCCCACAATGGCAATACCGACCACAGCGTCCTCGCCGCTTGGTGTGGCTTGGTCGACATCGAGGTAGTAGCCAGAAACAATGTCGTCAACAGCATCACCCAGATTCTCCACGGTCCGAACATCCTCGTCATAACTCGACATGGCAACACCCGGAAACAGGCGAGGGCTGTCGTTAACGCTCAAGACCCGGATGGTAGCTGTGCCGATTTGGGGTGGGAAGACGACAGTATTTTGAGCAATATCAATGTCATGTGTGCCACTGGGAAGGGCGGCCAAAGCTTCGTCCTGAGTAACATCCCACAGTACATAACCTAGCGCTGCGGTTTCATGAAAGTCTTTGACTGGTACGAAGCGCACGGCTGCAAGGCGGTCGAGTAAAGTTGCATTTGTTGTGCTACACACTGGAAAGCTGATCCAAGAGCCCGATGTGCTCAAGCGATATTCCCAGTGACCATGAGTCGTGTCTAGATGCACCACGGCAATTCCCAGCAGATCACGAGTGGTCAAAAAGTCGATCTCTGGAGAATTTGCGTGTGTGACAATACTCTGTACCGAGTCACCCGCCGAATCAACCTCATCTTCAAGAATGCTCGTCAAATTCACAGGATTGAGGTGATGCACGCTGATACTCGCCGTCTTGGACACGCGGGCTCCGTGCATTGTGGATACAGATACGTTGAGGGTACGCAGAACGTCGCCAGTGATGTTGGTGTGACTGTTGGAATAAGTCACGCTTTGCAAGAGCTCTTCGTAGGCTGCAGCGGCATCAATGCCGTGCAATTCAAGGTGTGCACTGGTGGCATCAAAGGATACGTTAACATTCGGTACAACGGCGGCTACGAGCTCGATGGCCAACAGCTCCGGGCGGTCCCCGGCCTCAGCCGCCATTGAAATCTCAAAAAGCCAGGATCCTTCGATGGGATGACGCAGAATGTTCTGCAGTTGCGTTGAATTGCGCACGACAGCGGGCTGGCGCACGGTCGCCGGGGTCAGACCAGAGATGTAGACGCATTGGCGGCCAGAGCAGTTGCCCGAAGCGGAGTTCAAATGAACAGTCACGTCAGACTTTTTCAAGGTGATGTTCACAGTATTTTGAGGCACTGAGGTTGAAAGCCAGATTTGCACATCGCCAAGCGCTCCGAGGGCGTCCAAGCTCAACTGCAAGGGTGATGTGCCACTCAGAGTAAGAGCTGGACCAAAGTTCCACTGAAAGAGCTGTGAGTTGTGACGAAATGTGCTTGAGTTGACGACATAGCGATGAAACACCAGATCCCAGTTGTACAGTGCGCCTGTGTCTTCTTCGGCCGTATCGTAAACGCGCAGGGTCCAATTTCCTGCCGTATTTGTTGAGAGAAAGCGGTCAAGGTTGCCTGCTGGACTGACCAAGCTACCAAAATGGGTTTGGCAAATTCCTGGCTCGCTCTCATCACTGCCGGGGCTGAGGGAAAAGTTGGCATGTGAGGAAAACTTGACACCAATCAGGTCATCAGCAGAGCAATCGACGCCTCCCGGGTGCTCGGCAAGAGCAATTGTAATGCCGTCGTGTTGCAGTTCGATGCGCAAATCGCCAATGTAAGAGTGGCGCAGGTCCAAAATTACTTCAACGCGACTGGGCAAGAAGCTGTCGGCTACCAAAAGAGTGTGCTCTGTGACAGTGGCATCTTCGATGGCCATGTCGACGCGGCCACTTTCAATGACAATGGGCGGCAATAGAGGCTCGGCTTCATGATACGTCACAGCAAGGACCTCGTTGGGGGTGTCAATGGCATTGGTGATACGAACATCGGTGGCGGAAATGCGATCGCCGTGGCCGGTGAGAAGCACATTTTCACTCAGAAACAGATTCACGGAGGTTTCATGATCTTGGTCCAAGTAGAGAACGCGGCTGTTGCCGTCTGTTGCGGTGCGGTCCATGAGATCGAGATCGAGCGCTGGAGCGGGAAAGGTACGGGTCAGGTTGATGTGGACGTGGTGAACATCATAAGAGGACGTCGTGCGCACCCCAAGAAAACCAGAGAGCTGGATGGCATCCTGGCCATCGGGTGCCGTCACAGTGAAGCGGAGCCGGCGTAGCAGGCGCTGAAAAGATGAGGCAAGAGCTGGTCCCCGCATGACAAGAGCCGCGTCACTCAGGGTCGCTACTTCGATGGTTGATTCCGTGACGCTACTGGCCAGAGAGGCGTTGTAAGCTCCGTCATTGGCAAGCGACAGAGTGACATATTGCAGATAGTGCCCGTTATCAGTGAGTTCCAGGAGACTCAGGGGTTCAAAGGCTGTTCCGGAAACGAATGTAGTGCTGACTGTCAGCCCAGCGGTCTGAACATCGTGAAGGGAGGTGGGCGCTTCGGCCAGGAAGGCGGCACAAACTACCGCCTGAGATGCATCGCAGTCAAAGCAAATAGTCTCGTAACCGGTGAATGCGGGGGTCAACGTGGCGGTGATATAGCCCTGTGCATCCTGAGGATTGACAAGTACTTGTGCCGCATCTGTGTTGAGCGATGCGAGAGAGCAGTTTCGCCCGGGGAGCTCAATATCCACCGAGGAGTTGGCAGGTGCAAAATACCAAGGAAGCACCTCGTAACCGAGGGTCAGCGGATGCGCAGCTGATGTAGCAGCATCAAGGATAAAGGGGATGCCGACAACGGAAGTGGCACCAGTGGCCACATCCTCGAGCTGAACGAGCACTTCGTGCAATTGCCCGTCCATGTCCCAGGCCCTTGGATCGATGAGCAGCTGTCCAGCGGTGACATCTAGCGACACGGCATGCGTGGGGCCGCTGCGCGCATCTTGGTAGCCCTCAGTACCAACCAGGGAAAAGACTGTCACGGAGCTGGCTGGGGCGCTCAGCTGAATTGTCGACGGGTGTGAGGCGGGCATGTGCAAGACGGGAAGCACAGGAATCGCTGGACTCCGGTACACGTTCGTTGTGGGAATGCTAATGCGCGTCGTAAGCAGGACTGTTGTGCCAGCGTTGGATGCAAGGGCCTCGGAGCGACAGCAGGTCTGAAACTGGGCAATCCATGTTGCAGCACGGAGATTTGTCAAATCGTAGCTGTGATTGAACGTGGCCGTGGCGGTTGTCCAGCCGTTTGCCTGGTGTAGAGCAGTAAATGCCAGGCTCACAAATTGTTCGGCACTCGAAGTGGTGGGTCGAAACGTCATGGGGACATCAAACTGGCTTGTGACATTGGCATCCGTGGTGATTTGAAGAGCAAACTGCACGTTGACACGAAAATCAGAGCGGGACGCCTGCCAGGACAAGCCTGCTGCAACCAATGCCACGGCTGTGCGGGCGCAAAGCACATGAGGGTTGGAGAGCAAACGAACAGAGATGGCAAGTGAGAGATGATGAGAGGATGGGTCGCACATTTTGTTGTAACAACCCGAGGGCGGTGACGCGACATGGGACTTACGCTCGTCGTTGTCCTCGACCCAAACCTCCAGAGGGGCTACGGAGGAACCATTGTTGTACGACTCATCAGTACTGGAAAGGTTAAAGGCAATGGCCGTTTTCACAACATCACTTGTCTCTGCCCGGGAATTGTCGATAGCGTGGACCCTCATGCGTTGACTGATGTTCCAATTGAGTGGCGTGAACGAGAAAGAAGAGGGCTCGAGTTGAAGCCAATCGCCATCATTGGCCTCTGCTGCCACCACGTGAACATCGGCGTAGGGTTGCGTGGGCAAGGAGAGATCGTAGTCTGCGTAGCGACCTTCGGGGATGGCATCCGGAAACGGATACCAGTCGCTGAGCTCAACAACGAGGCCACCTGCCGGGATGTCAATGGTTAGTCTCGTACGCAGTCGTCGTGTAGCCAACGGTTTGAAGTAGATGGAGCGAAAGAGAGGCGAAGAAAACGCGCCAGACCTTGATCACGTTCGGACAACAAGATGACAATTTTGAGAACTGGAAGTTGAAAGTTTGAGTCACCAGAGCTTGTGGTGATTTCGACCTCTGCGGTGTAGGGTGAGGGGCGGATGAGGCGGTCATCGACCGCGTAGATTTCAAAGGCAGAGGCTTGATCCCACTCGTCTCCAGCAATCATAGTTAGCTCGCTGTTGGGGATAAAGACGGTCCGATTCAGCGTCTCGATGGCAACCGATACATTATCCGTTGGTTCAACGAGGAGCTGGGCCACATAGATGGCACTCTCGGCCTCTGGAATCGCGAACGGGCCCTGGGCTTTGCGGATCAAAATGTTGGCACTGCCAAGATCTGTGATTTGAAGTCAGCACGTTCAAAAGTGTGAGAGGCAAATGAACGCTGCCAGGACGGGGAGGGGGAGAGGGATGGGAGGGCAAGGTTTTGGGGGGCGCTCGTGTTGCAAAGGCATGGCCAGGATAGATTTCTCACTTGAGGTCAGAAGAAAGAAGAAAGCACACAGGACGGCAAACGCGAGAGAATGACCCCCCAAGGCGGGCCTGGGGGCCATGCGAGCCATGTTGGCTGCCTTGCAGGTAAAGAGCTAGCCTGCTATTGAAGGGCTGGGCCAGCAAAGGCTCAAGCAGGCGGTGGCCCGAGAGCCAGCTGGATGGACCCACGACGAAGAAGCACGGTCAACGAGGGTGAGGGCGAACGAAACGAAAAGCCCACAGGAGGTCGCAAACGCAAACTAGGCCGAGGCTCGGCAGGAAGCTTGATGAGATCCGTACCTCTCAGAGCGGGCAGGCCAACAGGCAGCCTGTTGTGCGGAGAAATTGGGTGTCTCGAAACTTGTCAAATGGTCAAGAAAAAGGGCAGGATCCCGCAAGCTTGCCGTTGCCGGGACACGACCACGGCCTCCCCTTGGTCAAAAAAAAAAAAAAAAAAGAAAAAAAGAGGAGGAAGAGAGCGCTGGCACCACCCGTTGGGTCCAGGCTGCAGGCAGTTGGGTCCTTCTCTATCTGCGCTCAAGAAGACACACACGCGCGTACGCACGCGATTGACATGAGCATGTGCGGTCATGGGCTCTCCACGGCATGCAGCCCCACCACAACGCCGGCGTCACACAAGCCCACCACAGACAGAGCCGACGCCAACCAGTCGAGCAAACCGCCGAACGAGCCGACGCGAGAGAGCGAGAGACAGACAGAGAGAGAGAGACGAAGAGAGAGAGAGACACGGAGAGAGAGAGGAGAGACAGAGAGAGAGACGGAGAGAGATAGAGACGGAGACGGAGAGAGAGAGAGAGACACGGAGAGAGACAGAGACAGAGACAGAGACAGAGACAGAGACAGAGACAGAGAGAGAGAGAGAGAGACAGAGACAGAGACAGAGACAGAGACAGAGACAGAGAGAGACACACAGAGAGACACACACGGAGAGTCAAGGCAGGATGGTGGGGTCTCCCTACTCACTTGGTCAGACAAAAGGAAAGAGAATGAATGACAGAAGAGACAGTTTCACACACATAGAGACACAGATGCAGAGATACAGATACACAGAGAGACATCAAGAGAGAGTAGGGGGGGATGTGATCAAGACCCAGAGATACAGAGCTGCGGAGGGAGGGATCAAGAGACAAAGAGATGGGGATAAAGAGATAGAGGGGTAGAGAGGACGAGGACAGAGAGATGGAGACATTGACACAGCGTCACAGAGAGACAGAGGCGAGCGTGAGACAAAAGAAGACATCGAACCAAAGGCAAGCGACTGAAAATAAAAACGTGAATCGTTGTACGCCAACTTTTCCCGATAGAACCATTCACATTTCCCCGCTCTATGGTGATCAAGCCACCGGTCCACATCAAAGACCACCAACCCTTGTTGTGGTGAAACAACAACAACCCCCAGCATATCTCACTGTGACTGTTGACACACTCATAAGAAGAATAATTTATATTGAGAGGGTAAGTTGATAATAATTAATTTATGCATGTTAGAGGAGTGTGTTGAATATGCATGCTAGTTAAGAGGGGTGTGTTCAGTTTAGTACCTGCTGCGCCGCGCCACCGGACGAGATGATCATCTGCATCGGTCCCATCTGCATCCCGCTCTGGGGCTTGCTGCCCCTGATTGCCGCCTTCCTGGCCCCGTACTGGGCCAAGCTCAAACAGTGGTATGAAGGCCGTGTAGGCCAAAGGATGGTGGACAGCGGGCGTTTTGCGCATAAGGGTTTTGCCCTTTTCTCTCTCTCTCTCTCTCTCTCTCTCTCTTTATCTCGCTCTCCCGAGATTGAATCTAACAGCTCCTCATTCAATCATGCGGCAGGCTGGGCTGGACTGCACCGCCAGAGACCCCGACGGCCGCCACAACCGCCACAGAAGGCGATGCATCCAGCGAACAAGATGCACCGGCTACTAGCCTGGAGGATGAGCCAGCAGCAATGCCCCCGACTGCCGTGCGTCGAATTGACAGTGAGGATGACTGGGCGGCCTGCAAGGCCGAAGCTCAAAGCCATGGTCAGTTGTCAGGCCTCCTGCCCATCCCCGCGATCCTGCATTCACCGTGAAATCGAACCGACCGACACCGTCTCTCTGTGCGCCACACGGGTAGGCTGGGTGATGGTGGTTGACTTTGGGGCCACCTGGTGCAAGCCATGCCAGGCTTTGAAGCCAGCCTTTCACAGCGCCGCAGCTAAGCGTCGAGCCCTTTTTGTCGAAGTGAGTGAGGGCGCCGTCTTGACCCACCGCAGAACCACAGAGCGCACTGGATGCGGATCAGGTGGCTTGCGCCTCGCTTCCTCACAGCTGTTACGCAACGAATCAGGTTGATGTTGACGATACCCCAGAGATCGCCGAAGAGTACCAAGTTGCTGCCCTGCCAACCGTGCTCATCCTGCGCGACGGCAAAGAGGTAATTTGTTCTTTTCTGCTGCCCAGAAGCTGCACACACTTTCCCACACCCCATCCAATACCAGCACCTCTCTTCCTTACCACTGCACACGCCTGCGCGTAGGTGACCAAAAAGACGGGCCCCAACGCCGATAGCTTGACCGCGCTTGTGAATGAGCACGCCACCGCCAGGTGAAACACCAGATCTCGACTCACATGCTTTGCTCGAGTTTTAATTGATTTTTTTTTCCTTGTCGGGTTCAAAATCAACCCCACAAAAAAAATATTTCATTGCATTTCCCCCTTACCAGGGCCGGGTCAGCCCGCATGTCATGTGCCACACACACACACTGTTCGGGAGCACAGCTCCAATCCAGAGTTCCCCAAATGAAGAAGAACGAGCCAAAAAAACAAACCTGCTCTTGTCATGCTCTTGCAGTTCTTCATTTTGGCCGCCAATACACTCACACGCGTGCAAGATGTCCTGGACAGTCACCGCCCTCAAAGTCGAGCAGCCAGCTGGGGTGTCCCATGAACGCTTGACTTGCTGGAGCAGCAGGCGCAGCCGTTGCTGTCGCCGTCGCCGAAGCAGATTTTTGAGGCTGTGGCTCAGGCCTTGTGTGCTTCGTTGAATCCTCCAAGGTTTTGTCTGGGCTTGAAACGGTGATGCGCAACAGCACGGATTTACCGGTCATGTAGCTGTACGTGTTATCAAAAACCACCTCAATGATACCTGATCAGGCATGCCCGCACGGATTTAAGCCATGAGCTGTGGACCAAACCCCGGTTGGTCGTGGCACACGGGAAAATCGACCGCGACAGGGAGGACCAATCAGGCGGGCGGACGGACCAGGCTTAACAATGTTCAGGGTTCCCAAAGCAGGCCGGTGCTCGGTTTGCTGGCGAGCGAGAGGAAGCAGCCAGGTTTGTGATGCTTTATCACGAATGCCAAAGTTGATGTCTTTACTTGGAAGCCGGAAGAACCAGGTCACAATGTCGCCCGCCTCAACGTCATAGGATAGCTGCAAGCCAGGTTGAAAAGAGTCTGTGAGCTGGAACAACTCGCTGACGTGTGTCTCGGAGTGCTTCACTGTGCACCTCGCGATTGTGGGGCCCGCGTAAGCGAGGCGGGATGCAAAGTGAATAAAACCAACCGTGTGTGAACTGCCGCGGGCAATCACAATGTTTTCCATGTCCTCCTCGCAGAGCTGTGGGAGCGACGAACAGAGCAGGGTGTGAGGCACATCAACTCCTTCTGCTTCAAGTACAGGTTTAAGTGCTTTCAGCAGAGTGGCTTGCGGTGCGTATGGCTCCAAAACCGTACGTGACGATGTAAGTACGCCGACTCTGGTACCGCTGTTGGGGGCACGGGGTCGTCTGCAAAGCCACCAAAACGACGGGGTACATTTTTCCTGCCAAGGAGATGGGAGACGGCGAGCGGTGATGAAAGTGCGAACCGATGCTGCAACAACAACAACAACAACAACAACAACAACCCCAAAAAAAAAAAAATTAGAGCGTTTCCTGGCAAAGGCATATCGACGATTGGAGAGGTGGGCTGGGCCGCCAGGGTGGGTCACACCTGTCCATGCAGCCTTGAAACCACCTGTCGGCACCAGTGCCGCGAAGAATTTGAATTTTTCTTCGGGTCCGCTCGCGCAGGAAGGGCTTGACTAGATTCCAGGCCACATCAATGACGCGAGGTGCATTGATGACCACCATGGTTTTGAGGATTTGTGGGTAGTTTGCGTTGCGGCACTGCGTGACCTGTACCGTTTGATACAGTGTCAGGCACAACGCAAGGCGGAAGGCCATGTCAGAGGGCTGCACGGGCGGAGAAGCTGGTTGGCTCGACTGACAACTGTGCGCGCCGGCTTTGAGGTTTGAAAATGCAACGTACCTCGCCGAGAAAGGTGGTGAGGGGCCGATGGCTGCGCAGACCAAAGCCTGTGAGATCTTGGACAACCACCATCTTGTCAATGTAGCGGCCGTGTTTCTGGATCTGTTGTGTGAGCACGGAGTAGACGTATTCCATGAAGATCATGCCGTGGTATTGGACCACCTCCTCAACGGTGCACGCCTTTTGGATGCCAGCCACATCGAGACAGCCGGGCAAGTCCCAAAAAACGGGGTAGCCGTTCTCGTCCTCGCCGCCCAGGGCCGGGGCTGGGATCCACTCGCGCAGGCCAGGTCGCACGCGGGCGAGGAGCTGGTCAATGGGCTGGTCCAGGTCGTGTTTCTGCCGCCATTGTAGGTGACGCTCCAGCATGGCTGCACCCTTGTCCAGATCGTAGTTCTCAGCCAAGAGGAAGCGGTTCAGAAAGCGATCATTGTGTAAGCGTGGGTCGAGGCGGCTGTGCAGGCGTTGGCGCATCTCACGGATCAGGCCACGCTGCAGCTCGGTGATGCCCACCCCGTCCCCATTCTCGAGTGGCACATCGTCTTCGCTGAACCGAGCCACCTCAGCCAGGTACGCGTTCATGTCGAGAAGGTGGGATAGCCCAGCTGACAGCGCTTCACTTGGTCGCGTGCACCATTCTCTCCGAGGCGCTCGGATCCACCTCGGAGGCCGTCAAAAGCAGCAGTACCCGTACCACCACCAGCCGTAGTGCCAGTACCTATACCAGTAAGAAGTAGTACGTGCACGAGTAGCACCACCACCTCCAGCAGAAGAGGAGGAAGACGAGGAAGACGAGGAGGAGGAGAAAGAGGAGGTAGAGGAGGAGGAGGAGGAGGAGGAGCGCCAATTTTAAAAAAATTTGATACTCTTCGTTCAGCTCTCTCTCAAATCTCTCTCTTGAACTTTCTCTCTCTAAATCTCTCCCTCTCAATCTTCTCTCTCTCTCTCTCTCTCTCTCTCTCTCTCTCTCTCTCTAAATCTCTCTCTCTCTAAATCTCTCTCTAAATCTCTCTCTCTCTCTCTCTCTAAATCTCTCTCTAAATCTCTCTCTCTCTCTCTCTAAATCTCTCTCTAAATCTCTCTCTCTCTCTCTAAATCTCTCTCTCTCTCTCTCTCTCTAAATCTCTCTCTAAATCTCTCTCTAAATCTCTCTCTCTCTCTCTCTCTCTAAATCTCTCTCTCTCTCTCTCTCTCTCTCTCTCTCTCTCTCTCTAAATCTCTCTCTCTCTCTAAATCTCTCTCTGTGCAGTTTGTGCAGTTTGTCTGAGGGGGGAGGGGGTGTGTGGAGGGCATCGCAAGATGAAGCGTGCGGATCGGGGGACTAGAGGGGGAGACGGGGATCATCATGGCAGCCTTGCCTGGCTGGACGGCGTCGGGTGTCTTTGAGGTGGGTTGCGCGCTGAGAGGAAGACGGGTTTGTGCGCCGAGGTCGTTGTGTATTGCGTCTGGCTCACCTAAAAGGCGATGATGGGCGCGAGCAGGACACTCGTTCGCTGGCGGCTCTGGTCTTGCGCCTGCGCACTGAGAATGATTTTTGGCAGCAACGCATTCGTGCCCTGGAGCAGGAGATTGAGCGCCTGAAACTTCGACCTGATTGTACCAGGTGGGTAGGCAGAATGGCGCCACAATGGCGCACCGCCCCCTTGTTTGGCGCCCTTGCGCTCATCGGCCGCAACACCCTGGATAGTGTGGGCACCCAGACGACGTTTGAAGCCGATCGCCAACAAGAAGCCAACGCCCAGATTGAAACGCTTCAGAATCATCTAGGACAACTGCTTTCTCTCCATGAAACGGTGACTCGGCGCTTGGGACGCCAGGTGCAAACCAATGCCAACCTGCGCGATGCCAACAAACGTGCGCCCTTTTACCCCCCAATGCCCCTGCTACTGCTCGCCGACACGCCCTCCTCGACCTCACCCCGGCTCCTCCCCTTCCCCCAGGCCTGTCCGTGGATGTGGCCCGCCTCGAACAGCAACACCTCACAGACCAGGCCAAATTGGAGGCCCTAAGGTAAACCGAGTCTGAATGGGCCATGAGTGCACCATCGTAGTAGTTGTAGCAGCAGCAACAACAACAGTGGCAGTGGCAGTGGCAGTTGCTGTGGCCATTACTGTTGCTGTTGCTGCTGTTTTTAATTTGCGGCCGCCGCCTTGTTCCGTGCTCACCCGCCTTTCTTCCCTTGACACGACTTCAACAGACAACAGCAGGCCGCTCGCCTCCGAGAACTACGAAGCAACGCTTCGGCCAAAGCAGCCAAGTCAACACAGGCGACAACGCAGGACTCACCTAAAGAGTCCCGCCATCGCTCGCGTCGACGAGATCGCAACACCCAAGAACCACCGTCTGATGCTGCGCCACCCCGACACCATCATCGCCATCGCCACCGCCACCACCGCGACCGCTCATCCCAATCACTTAACCCTGACCCGCATGCTCCAGTTTAATATCAATGAATCAACCCTATCAGTGGCACGTCGATGCTGATCAAATCGCCCCTTGGCTCCACCCACATCAAAGCAAACGCAACTCCAAACGCATCCATCTCATCGACGAGACACATCCGGGGAGAGAGAGAGAGAAAGAGAGAGAGAGAGAGAGAGAGAGAGAGAGAGAGAGAGAGAGAGAGAGAGAGAGAGAGAGAGAGAGAGAGAGAGAGAGAGAGAGAGAGAGAGAGAGAGAGAGAGAGAGAGAGAGAGAGAGAGAGAGAGAGAGAGAGAGAGAGAGAGAGAGAGAGAGAGAGAGGAGAGAGAGAGAGAGAGAGAGAGAGAGAGAGAGAGAGAGAGAGAGAGAGAGAGAGTCCTCTTTGCCAACTACCGAGGCATCGACTTGTCTGCCCCTTCCACAACAGAGATTCGCAACACGGTTGAGCTCGGCCAAAAAGTCATGCTACACATCCAACACGCCGTCTACACCTGGGAAGGCTCCATCAACAAATTTCTCGTCGACGACAAGGGCCTGTCCGCCCTTTGCGTGTTTGGCCTGCCCCCCGTGTCTCATGCCGACGACGCCAAGCGCGCCACGGCGGCCGCCAAGCTTCTGACCGACACGGTGAATGAATTGTCCCCCGATGCCACTGTCTCCGTGGGCATTACGACTGGTATTGTCTATTGCGGGGTTGTCGGCTGCCGCCAACGGCGCGAGTACACCGTCATTGGCCACTACGTCAACCTGGCGGCCAGGTTCATGACCATGGCCCCGAAGAATGGCATCTACGTGGATCAGGTCACCATGGAAAAAAGTCAAAAGTACTTTGTCTTTGATGATGGCCTCTCCATCAAAGTCAAGGGCCTCAGTGACCCTGTGCGCTTTTACAAACCCCTCAAGGTGAAGCTGCAAAGCGAGACCACCAAGTCCGATCTCCAGTTGCAGGCCCGCAAAACGGAGCTCAAGCGCCTTCGTGACATCATTGCCGATCCCCGTCGCACGGGAAAGGCTTTGCTCTGCACAGGTGATCGCGGAAGCGGCAAGGGTATCCTTGCAGATGCGCTCTATTGCGCAGCTGAACACCCCGACTACTATGTCTTCCGCGGCAACAATCACTCCAAAACAGCCACCTCCATGGCCCTCAACGGCTCGAGCGTTGACGCTGACTTGGTCCACCGCCGCCGCGTCTCCTTCAACAGCAGCAACGGTGAACGGCGCAGTTCAGCCGACTTTGTTACCTGCGAAGATCGCACCTCCCCGCGCCGCCTCCCAGCCCTTCAAGAATCCCAGTTTGTCGACTTAGACTCGACGCTGGACGAAGCAGACGATTCGGACGAGGGTGACAACCTGAACACCGATGACGAGGCCTCTGCCAACTTTTTGAGCCCAGCAGCTTCACCATCCCGCCCCACTTCTCGTGGCACCGTCCAAACCTCCCCGGCCTCTTCGCGCCCCGAGTCTGCCATCGACACCTCATTCAATGACTGCCACGAGTACACTGAAGGCAACCACACGGACGTGCGTGATTTGGACTCACTGCGCGTGGGATTTTTGCCTTGGATCCCTGTGGTTCAAAACATCATTGTCAAAGGAGCTGAGCTTGCGGAGCAATCCCGTGAGCTTTGGCTTGTTCATGCTCTGCGCGCCCAGCCCTGGCACCTGCGCTATGCGCCCCTTCTCAACCATCTCTGGGCCGACCTGGAGCTAGACGCCGGGGAGCTGCTAACGCTGGCCTTTGACATGAAGATTGATCTAAAAGCTGCCGAACGCCAACGCAAGGGCTCCGATCTCAATCAGCGACTCATGCCCGCTTTGCACGAGATGTCACAACCCCTTCGGGTCAAGGAGTTACGCGACATTATTCGCCTCGTCGTCTTGCACTTTGCCGCAAGCTACCCAACCATGATCGTGCTGCATTTCAAGACCGGCACCTCCACGTCAGCGGTCGACCAAAACTCGTGGATGCTGACCAACACCCTCAGCATTGATTGCAGCAATCGCACTAGCGAGGAGCCCTCACTGGTACTGGCCGTGTTCACCCGGTCCTACCTTCATCAAAAAGCAACTGAGTTTGATGACTTTCGTGAACGCGCCATACAGTACGTTCAATCCCCCAAAATGGCATTGGCTGCTCGCCTCGGCTTTTGCGCACGGGGCTGCGCTTGGCTTGTGTTGTCATGTTCGCGCTCACCCCATAGAGCACTCGCTTTTGAGCACACTCACGAACAGTGCCCCGCTGCCTGAAAACACCATAGCGAGGGCACCTTTTTGCCGTTGCAACCGTTAGACAACGCAGCCTCAGATGAATACCTGCGAAAGGTTCTTGGCCTGGCTGAACTTTATTCGCTTCCTGCACGCGTAAGTACAGACCAAATTTCATGCAAACATCTGCCACCAGGCCGGCGATCAAGTTGCAACCCCGTGCTTACTGGGACTTTTGATGCTCATGCCCTTGCACTTGCGCTTGCCTTGTTCTTCTGTGCAGTTGGCCCTGTACTTTCAAGACTATGCCGCAGGCAATCCCAAGCAGATTGAGGACCTGGCTCGTCACCTGCTGAAAATCCAAGCCATCGAGGTTATCGAGGGTCGCGTGACTGTCCAAGTGGACACGCTACCCCCGGTTGCACATTTACCCTCCGAGATGACCGCGCATGTCCGAGCAGACATTGATCGGTTGAGCGAGCGCCATCAGCTCGTCATCAAGCTTGCCAGCACTTGTGAATACTTTACCGAGGCCATCCTTCGTGCCGTCATTCCCTATCCGGATGAGCAGGAGCAAGTGCCACAAGTGCTGCGCTTTCTTGAGACCAAGGGCATCTTTAAGCGTGTCAGCCGTGACGCCACGCCTACGGAGCTGCTAGTGTGGGATCCCTCCATGCCCTATTCCTACTGCTTCGCCTCCCGGCTTGTCAAGGACATTGCGGTGTCGATGCTCATGCTGGAGGATAAGCAGGTGCTTCAAGAGCATCGCCGCCTCATGACCCTCCTGCATGAGGCAAAGCAGCTCATGTTGCTGCAAAGCCGCAGCCTCAACTGGATTCAGTCGGCCCATTCGGCCCGAGAGACACGAGGCCATTCGCTCCCGCCGCGCGAGGTACGCGGACAAGCCTATGAGGCGCTGAAGCAGGCGTTGAACACGACCAAGCAGCTGGCCGTTCCCAAGCCTCGGCCTCGACGCTCAAGTCGAGGACCAGTGCCGTTTTCGGCATCAAGCTCGCGCAGCTCACTTCTTCGCGAAGTCACAACGGTGCCCCCGGGATTTGGAGTGGACGCCGGGGCGAGCCCAATCCGACTTCAAACCACCGTGTCAAATGTGATCCAGCGCCGCACGCCTCCACCGGTCCAGCGCTCGCAGTCGCATAGTCAACTGCTAGTGCAGCAATCCTCAGGCCAAAGCCAGCGCAGCTCGACTTCGCGCTCTTCAAACAATCCCTCTCCCCGCACCTCACCTATGCCCGCTGCCGCTGCGGAAGACAGTGTCCACCAATCACTTTCCAGCACGCGCGCTAGTAGCGCTGATGACCTCTTTCAGTTTATGATGCGGGAAGTGGAGGTGGGCAAGAAGCAACTTCGCGCGCGCGGACGACCGGCCGTCTCCAAAGTTTAGCAACCATCTTAGAAAAAAAAGCCCTAGCCTCTTTATAATACCCTGATTTGGTAAACAACTGTCCTGCTTTGATGAAATAAGAGCGAAGAGATACATATAATAGACTTCTTTCAGAATGATGTCATTTTTTTTCCCGAGGCTTGAGGCCCGCGCTTGGACCAGGTTGCTTGAAAGACCTTCAAATCATGATTGCAGTGACGCGTGAATGGGTTACAGCGTGATCTGCGCCGCCCTCCATCACTCCACGATAGCGCTCTCGATCGATTGTGCACAAAGTAGAATCGAGCTTTGGTACTTCGGGTGCAACATGTGCCCTCAGGCCCCTTCATCGTCTTCAAACTCGTTGGAAGAGGCGGGCTTGTTTCGTTGCGTTTCTAATCCTGTTCGATCCTTGGACAGCAAAGGCATCATTGCAGCCAAAAGACTGCGGAAAAGCTGAGGATACAAGAGCTCTTGCGATGCCAGCAACTGCTTGACGCGGTGGCGCTCGGTGGGCTCGGCAAAGCATGCCGGGCAGTTCTCTGAAATGACTGGCAGCCGAACAGCGGGATGCTCTGCAAACATTCGCAAATCTTTCTCACTGCCAGTTGGAGGGCGATTGACGGTTAGGTGAGAGAAAATGAAAAAAAGGCAGTTTGACCGAGCAAGATTGATCCGGTTTCACCATGGGCAAGGACACACACCGGACGTAAACAAACGGACGAGCCATGCGCAGATCCCCTTCGGCCACGACGTAGTGTGCCTAAGGAAAGAAGGAGAAGTATGGTCAAAGAAATCAAATATGATTCAAAAAAAATTGTGCGATGCTCCTGCAATACGATGGCTACGAAGTGAAGCGGCGCACCTTCATCGTGCGCAAGTAGCCGTTGTGGAAAAGCGACATCATGAGACTCTCAGCCATGTCATCCTATACGGCAAAAGATATGCGTGGAAGAGAGGGTTCAAGCCAAGGGCAGTGTCAGCGACAAAGACAAGAGGCAACTGCAGGAGGCCAAGGGCAGTGCAACGCGAGATGAACGTACGAGATGCTGGCCAAACATGAGAACATTGTAGCCCTCGCGTCGAGCGCATGCGTAGAGTCGACCACGCTTCATGCGTGCACAGAAACTGCAGATGCTGGCCAGACTGTGATCAGCAGTAACAGTGTGAGAAAGAGAAACGCAGTTTCTATGCGAAACAAGACAGCAACGAGCGGAAGCATTAACCGCACTTTTCAATGTTCATGGCATCGTCCATGATACACTGTTCCTCGTAAAAATAGGGCATCCCCAGTTGCTGAAAGTATGCTTGCAATGGTGAGGGATCGAAGGCCTCCGTCCCAGGGTCCACCGTGGCAGCCCCAAGCTGGATGTTGATGCCATCGCCGCGCAGCTTGTACTGAAGCTGCTTCATCACGTGAACCAGACTGAGCGAGTCTTTGCCACCGGAGACGCAAACCAAGACGCGATCTCCATCGCGCAGCATGTCAAAGTCGCGGATGGCCTAGCACCCGTAAAAGCACACGTGGATGCATGAAATCATGTGAATGCATCATCATGCGTGCGTGTTTCAAAGTGGCGGGATCAGGAGACAAGTCACACCCCGCCATCCCGACCCAACGCCGCCATGTGAAAACAGGTCAAGCGCCATTTGTCTGCCTCGTGCGAATTGACAAACCTTCAAGACTGGTTTCATGATGGTCTTGGGTGGAGCATGAAAGCGCGGCTTATCTACATGGGCTGGGCCGGCAGCTCTGCCATTTGGTACAATGGTCCCGTTGACTGCCGTCTCAACAAAGGTGTCTGGACGCCGCAGAGGGCAGGCTGGCACAGAGACATCCAAGCTCTCTGTGGCCTGTGCCGGCACGTTGGGCTCTGTGGCGCGGTGTTGAACAAGTTGCTCTTGCAGTGCTTCAACCTGCACTTGGAGCTGTGCAATAGCAGCCTCCTGGCCAGCAATCATATCAAGCAAGGCGTCGCGAGGTGCGGCATGCCAGGTGGGCGCCGAGTCAGTCATGGACGCTGGCGTTGGTGCCTCGGATGCGGTGGCAGCTGACGCCGAGTCCGTCGAGGTCGTGGACTGTGCCTGGTGTGTGACTGGCGCAGAGCTGGAAGCGTACACGTGTGGCTGCAACGGACAGGATTGCCCGGGCTCCAAGGCAGCAGTCTCGCCGGGGTAAACGAACCAGCGTAGATGCTCGACCGTCGGTGCTAAGCCTGATGCACCCACGTGCCGGGGTGCCTTGCTGCGTGGAGGCAAGAGGATGAAAAAGAATGAGGGTGCTTCTCCAGAGGATGTATGACCGCAGGGCAAGTGCTGTGTCGGCACCGCAGACAACTGGAGGGTTGATGCAACAGCCTGCGGTGAAGACGTACTTGGTTAGGGTGGAGACGAGCTCGCGCGCCTCTTGCAAGAGGTCGGCAAACCCAAGTGTAGGGGGTGTTGCAGGGCGGGGTGTGTCAACCAGCTGGCACAAAGGCAGGGTAGGCACCGAGATGAGGGGAGACAGTGAGACGGATGCACCATGTCCAAAGCTGCACAGCGCACCTGGAAGGTAGAGAGCCAGCGCCGTTGCTTGCTCCGGGCATCGCGCTGATGAACCCACTCGCCAGTCTCGGCGTTCAACCGATAGTGGGCCAAAAACTGAGCACCATGCTCGGCGACAAACGCAACGGCATCAAGGATGAAGTCGACCTCGGCCTGCGTCATGAACCAAGTTAGGTTGAAGCGGGCGAAGCCTGGTCGAAGAGCTTCGTTGCAACTGTATTCGCCGCGGCGGCGAAGGTGATCCCGATCGAGCCGATCGTCTTCGCTCAAAGCTGCCTCCAACCTTGAGTTGAGATGTGCCACACGAGAAAGAAAACAAGTGAGTTCTTCATCTTGCCGGCGTCCAGTACTGGCACGTTACACTGGGAGAGCATGGGGAGCAGCAATCGCTTACTGGGCTGCAACAGGCCCAAGTCCCAAAAGCTTATGTGCGTAGGGCCCCGCGCAGGCACAGCCACCGCGGGCTTGCACGCCAAACAAATCATTGAGCAAGGTCACCACAAAATTGTGGTGTAGCCACCTTTTTTTGAGAAACGACAGGGGGTCATTGAGCTGGATGAGTCAACAAAACGTAGAGCCTGGCAAGATGGGTTGTCTGAAGTCAAGGAGTACGCTGGTGCTCTGAGCATACCTGCCACTGTGGTGGCGAACCACAAAGCTAAAGATGGGAAGGCGGTATTCTGACGCGGGCCCCAAAAGCACCAGATTGGGACACTGTGCGAGTCGCTGCAGGGCATGATGCGTTAGTTCGAGTTCATGGGCCAGAATCAAGTCGGCCCCGGCATCCTGATGCAGCTTGAGCACCAAGCCTGCTCCACCGCGCGTGCGTACGAGATGAGATGTGAATGTGAATGTGAATTTGGGGTCAAGGAAAAGAAAAGGAAACCCAAAACAAAAGACGCAGGAAGCATGATTGCTGACCTGCGCGAATATCACCAAGGATAGCCGGCGTGCCACCCTCTTCCCGCGTCTCCTCTGCTTTGGTGTAGCGGTGCGCACCTTGACGCACGTAGAAGACCGAACCACCCCCGCCGGCCAAGGGGCTCGTGTTGCGGCACAAGGCCTTCTTCACAACCAGAACGCCTGCAACCAACCCGCGGTTGAGGCAGGCCAAATCAAATGATGAATCAATTGTGTTGGAGCAAGGGCGTTGCCGATGCGCGCCCCATCGCTTGAGAGTGTACGCACCGTCGGTTTGTGGTCCACCGGGAAACTTGTGAGGAGAGAGGAAGACGGCATCCTTGCATAGATTGCGGCCATCGCCCGGGATGGGATTCATGTTCAGGGGCACATAGGGGCCAGCGGTAGCATAGTCCCATACGGCCAGGGCACCGTGTTCGTGGAGCAAGGCAGTGATATCATCCACCGGGGCCAGAACGCCGGTGACATTGGAGGCAGCGCTAAAAGCGCCGATGAGCAACTGCTCGGAACGGGCGTGTGTGGTGAGCTGTGCCTGCAGGTCGGCGAGATCAACGACGCCTGCGGCTGTCTCCGCAATGGAGACCATTGTACAGCCTGCATCGGTCCAAGGCAAGATGTTGCTGTGGTGCTCATGGGGACCGATGAGTACCGTGACGGATCCTGGCGGTCGGCGCCGCAGGTCCAGCATGTGAATAAGCCGGTGGACCGCGCCGGTTACGCCATGGGGCACGAAAAGCACCTGAAGCCAGGCAAATGGGATACAATGAGCATCAGCACAACCGACACGGCAACCTGACGCCAGCCCCGCAGGCTGCCAATGCGGGGCGCGCCTTGAGTACACGTACTGCATCATGCTCGGAGGCACGCGTCACGTTTCGCACAATAAGGCGTGCTTCTTCTCGAAAGTGGGTGGTTTGTCGGCCCGTCGCGTTGGTGGTCGTATGGGTGTTGGCATAACTGGGCAGGACCTGCGCGGCCAGGCGTGCATCAACGCACCACATGAGCAACTTGCTATCAGAAAAAAAGGTCAAACTTTTCACTGGCCGCGCAACCGCGTGCCAACCTGCTCCGCCATGAAAGCTTCAATGCCGTGCAGGCTACGCCCAGATGCCACGTAGTCGGCATAGACCATGCGCCGTGCACCAAAGGGCGTCGTCAGCGTATGACTGTAGGCATCCAAGCCACGATGCACACCACTCCGGATGGCGCGAAAGCGCTCGTCCCGTGTAGGTCGCCGCCCGGTCACCCGGTTCGAGGTGACGCCGCCCGTGGCCATCCCCCCCTCCTCCTCTGCGTTACCAGACGCCATGTCTCTGACCCAGAACCCCTGGGCCCCCTTCGCGTCGTCGTCGTCCGCGCGCGCGCGCGTGTGTGTGTGTGTGTGTGTTCTCGTTCTCTCTCTCTTTTCTCTCTTTTCTCTCTCTCTCTTCTGACGTTTTCTCTGACTTTATGTTTGATGTTGCATCTCTCTCTGACATCCCCTATCTTGTCTTTGGCTATAAGATTTTTCTTTTTGACATCTCTCTGACTTTCTCTCTCTTGTCTTCTCTCCCTCTTTCTCTCATCACTGTCTCTCTGTCTCCCTCTCTGAGCACGTGTCTAACCCCCTACGGACCTCTGCCCCCCCCCCCCCCCCCCGGCCGTTGCTCTGGGAATGTCGGCCGCGTAGTTCAAGCTGGCGTGGTTTGGGTCTGTGAGTATCTTTGGTGACTATCTGACCGCCATGTGTCTTGAGCCAGCACACCGCCGACCATTGCTTTTCCTCGACAGAGAACGCCTGATGCTGCTCTGCCAATTTCAACTCAATTTTGAAGCAATAAACCACGAATTTTGCTGTGTTTTTGTTTTTTTCTTGCGGTCTGCTGTGATGCTTCAGCGTGTGCCATGTCGTTCGTCGTTTGTCCTGCCTAAATGGAATACGCGCCCTCGACCCCCCGTGAGTTCCTCCGGGAGCGGGAGGTCGGTGGACATCATGGCAATGACCCAATAAGACTTCAAGAGTGCAGCCTGGAGCATCTTCAAGCTTGCTGCTTGGCTTTTATCTTGAAAACGGGTCATCATAGACCAGCTGGCGCCTGGTCTGAGAGATTCGGGTTCTGACCGGGTTCTGAGCGGCATATTGACATGTGAATACACCATACACCATACTTACTATTATTGAAGATCAATGCCCGAACTACAACAACACGTTACACTGCTTCTTCAACGCATCGATGACGCGCGACGAGGCCACTCTAAGATTTACACACTCGCTGCTGTGCTGAGACCATGTCAAGTCCAGGCATGTTGCACATGTGTTTGACATCTTTCTTTGCTTTCGCAAAACTGACTCAATTGGAATGGAAGCGAGTCCGAGCGCAGGTGCTGCCCGGTTGTTAAATATCTCGTTCCTCAGTTGACAAGCATGACAATCTTGTCTCCGGGCTGCCACAGAACCCGCTCCTTCTGTGATGGTTCAAAACGACCGTGCAGCCGTGCAGGCGCCAGCGCGTCAGTAAGCACTCATGACACGACCGCATATCCGGTCGAGCATGGGCTGACATTGAAGAAATCAGAACAAAACAATACTGACCTTGTGAGGAGGATTGATGCTCAGAACGCCCTCGTCGCGGATCCATCCAACCACAATCTACATTGATACATCGGCGAAAGCACAATGAGGGCTTGAGGATTCGAAAAGAAAAAAAAAAAATGTAAAGAGAAAAGAACCCCCCTCTTCCGAACCAAAAGAAAGCAAGAACAAGACCCAAAAATCAAAATCAAAATCAAACGACGTATTTTGCTTGCACATACCCGGCCAGTGGCGCGCGCCTTGGCCATGAGGTCCCAGAAGCAAAGCTTGACGCCAGCGGGGCATAATCTGGCAGTGATGACACAAGAGAACCGTGAGCACCCCGTCTCATTATTTCAATGTAACCTCTTCACCCGCCCCAAAACACGGGAACGCACGTGTGGGCTGGAACAATGCTCAGCTCGCAGCCTTGGTAACTGAGCAGCTCATCAAAGACCAGGTTGAGCGGGCGCTGGTCAGACACCTAGTTGCAAAGTGGGCCGGTACGGATGCCGTTTACCGTGTGAACATTCCCAACTCGCGAGATCACAGAAGATGACCGGCCATGGTCAAAATTCGGGCCTCACCTGGGCCAAGGCGGCGCTGACAATGCTGTTACCCGCAATTTGAAATGAATCGTTAATTGAAGCCGCCAATTCCTTGGACAGCGGGTCCACGATCTGACACGCGCGGGTAAGCCAAGTGGGGTGAGCTTTGGGCTGAGCGATTGATTACACGTGGGCCAAAGCCCTTGCGCATGGCTCACCTCACTGAGAATCATACAGTTTTCTTCCATCCGCTGATTCATGCGCTTGCGCTCCTGCTGGATTTCGTGAACGAGCAGCTGGGTGCTGAGCGCTCGACTGTCCCGATTCTCAAACACAGACTGGGTGCTGCTGTCGTTGAGAATCAAGATGGTGCCAAAGGCCTCCAAACGCATGGCCTCCAGGTCTCGCTTCCGCAACGGATTGCCCTGGCGCAGCTGCACCTGCAGATTCTGCAGCCGCATGACGTCCATGCCATTCTATCAAGCCCCGGTCGAATTGGTGAGTGTTGTCCGGACGAGACAAGTGGCTCATCTGAGCAAGGGGCACACCAACCGCTTTAAGGAGAAGGATCTGCTCCTCCTTTGGAATTGTAGCCATGATGTACAGCACAGAGCCCTGCAAAACACAAGTAGAATATGATCAAATGTCGAGTGTTCACGGGGGTCGAGTGGTGAGTCAAGGGGTGCATCAAGCGTACCGAAGCCACGCGGCGATCCAACTCAGCAATCATCAAGTGCATGTCTCGGCGCCAATTGAGGAACATGATCTAACAAAGCCCCAAAGCCACCAAGCAGCAGCCGAGTTTCAACAGATCGTTTGGCACGGAGAGGCGGGGACTGTGCTGAACGAAAACACCGTGGCGTTTAACGACTCCTCGAGCAAGCGGACAGAGAAGCACGTACGCGCTCGGGTTCGCGGTTCACACGTTGAACAGCCTGCTCATGGGACATGTGCGAGAGCGGCATGGTCGTCTGGAAAGGCGATTGGAGCGTGTTTGGTGAGTGCTAATCCTGATTGACGTTTTGCTGGCTATTTTCATTTTCAAGGTCGAGAACAGAGCAAACAGTCGGGTCAAAGTGCAGGGCTGCGGTAACTACCGACCGAGGGAGCATAAGCATCATCATCCTCAGCAAGGACGATGAGCTGGTCTCCCTGAGAGATGATGTAGTCATCGGGAGGGTTGAGGACAACCTCGGAGTTTTGTCTGTTTGAAGCATTGGCAACAAGGTGTCCAAGCATGAGAAAAGGACGGCCGAGAGGACACGGCATCTCGTCAGGTCCGGTGGTGCGTACGTACCCGTCGCCGAGCTTGACACCAACGACCACGGCATCCTGGAAGGACGTCAGAGCGCTACGAAAAGTTGAACCGACCAATTCTGGACATGCACAGATGAGACACCACCACGAGCACTCGGCGGCACAAGTACTGCGCACGGGGTCGCATACTCACGGGGCCAACTTTTGATATAAAACTCGGGTCCATCAAAGCTCATGATGAGCTCAAGAGCCGATCCTGCATCATGTACCAGGAGTGGTGAGCCAAGCAAGAACGAAGGTTGTATGGAAGTGGGTAGGCGCAAGGCACGACTTTAGCTGACCGATCATGGGCTGGCGGGTACAGGCAATCATGATTTGGCCAATCACTTCGTGGGTAGAGATGATTTCCACGCGCTCGCGGCCAGCCACTTGCATGACGTGCTCATTGGCCTGATCTTGCAGCTCAAGCACCACGTGGGGGGAAGGCTAAATGCAAGAGCCGAGCAACGAGCAGGATGTATTACTGATGAGATGAGCAAGTCAAGTTTTAGGGTCAAGCATAATGGGGTCGGCAAGGGATGATGGGTTGTCGGTCTGGCGGTGGTGGGAAGAACAGCCGATCTGAATATAACGACCCATTCATGGCGTACCCCAGCATGCTGGAGCAAGAGCATGAGCAGCATGAGAACACGAAGGATTTTGGCGTCGCTATCTTCGGAAGACTGGTGATCTTCGGCCAGAACAATGATGCTGCGCGCCTTGGTGCAGGAGGTCTTGCTCAAGTCTGCTCGGTTGAGGATGGAGCCCTGCACAAAAGCCACATGCGTGCCCAGTTTGGGAAAGTTGGCATTCGCCAATGCTGCCTCCTATCAAGGGCGGTGGATTGCAGGCTCGTGAGCACCTGGGCAGGTCAGGGTGTGGAGGGAGGTTTGAATGAGTGGACGAACCAAATCCTGGGGATCATTCTCGGCAAGGACTACGATGCGACTGCCACCGAGGCTCTCGTTGGCCAAGCAGAGTTGTTTGATAACAAGGAGCGTTTTCGCAGACCAGCCGAGGATGACGGTGTGACCGGCAAAATCTTCAGTGCTTCGCGATACTGTTGAGGTGAGGTTTGGGAGCAAGATGTGGGTCATGAGGGCATGCAATAGGTAATCAGGGGAGACAGGCGGTGGATGAGTGTTGATGAAGCGAGCTGTAGTGTCAGGGTGCTGCCTACCGGCATGTACACGCAACAGTACGTCACGTATGGCGCTAAAGAGCATGCCTACAGAGAAGCAAGGCCAGCCGGGTGGATGGATGAGTCAAACACACTGCGGGGTGGGGTGACCAGGGCATTGTGCATTCCATGACAAACCTGCAAGAGCGGCGTTGAGAATGACACCGACGAGGGCCAGGACGAGGGCGATGAGGCATTCGGCCAGTTGGGTCGTTTGAAGCAGTGATGCAGGTGCAAGAAGCATGACGGTAGCGCGCCACAGGCACATGTGCATGCTGGTGGTGGCGGGAGCCAAGCTTTTGAGAGCCACAGCCGCTACAAGGGGAAATGGGTGTTCAGGTGAAGTAAAGTCAAGTCAAGGTTGAAAGGGCAAGGTATGAGAAGATACGGCTGTCCACGAAAATCGATCGAGGGGCAGTCGGAAGGGGGAGGTGGTCATTTGGAATCAAATGGGTATCAAAGCACGTGACTGCGGGACAAGGCCTACCGACGGTGAGCAGGACAAGAATGGCCTTGCCAGCCTCACGAACGCGAGCCATGAAGCTTCGGGACTTGAGCCTACTCGGGCAGGGTCGGGGCCAAGCGAAGGGCATGGTGGGCAAGAGCGTGATCCATGAGCCGAGCGAGAAGGCGGCTGGCTTCAAGTGCAGGGCTCGGGGGGCGACAGAGGCGCTGAACATGGCGGGAGTAGCACAAAGGGAGCCTTGCCGTCATGCTTACCAGTCGGCACAACGTTGGTAAAGGGAGTCACCGCTGTGTTCATCATCAAGGAGCTGCAGCATGTTGGTGATCATGATGCCCAGCACAAGCAGGGCTGCAGCACCACTGACGGCGGTGGCGATGCTGTCATATTCGTTGGGCACGAGGGCCTCATAATTGAGAACGGTGGCCAGGATGGCAATCGTTGCTGCCTCGGCCATCATGGTGCAGTTATCCTTTTGGTCAGGAGACACGGCAGCCGCTCAACCGCTGCACCCGCACGCACGCACACACGCCCCCTTTTCCGTTGCTACTGATCTGAATCAGGCAGGCACGAGTCCAAGCCCAAGACCCTGCATTCACGCCGTCGGTCCAGTTCCGTCCGTGTTATCGCGTATCCCGACGCACAGTACCACCACACTCGTCCACTGGCCCGCCTCGACAACGCCGATACCGTTACCAATACCAGAGGTCGTCGGGCGCCGAGCTGCCGTTTCCGCGTGTGTGTGTGTGTGTGTGTGTGTGTGTGTGTGTGGTTCGCGATCCGATGAGTTAGGTTTGGTCACAAGTTTAGTAAAATACTTTTGTAAGAAGGAAGAAAAGAAGGAGGAAGTAAGTTAGGGAGAGAACGTCGGGTAGAGTAGAGCGGCGAGAGCCGAGTAGAGAGGGGGGAAGAGAGAGGTGGGAGGAGTAGAGAGGGGAGGAGCGAGAGGAGAGAGAGAGGTGAGAGTAGTAGCGAGGCGAGTAGAGAGGCGGGGAGAGAGAGGAGAGAGGGAAGAGTAGAGAGTGAAGAGGAGAGAGTGAAGAGGAGAGGAGTCGAGAGTCGAGTCGGGAGTCGAGTCGAGAGACAGGAAGAGATGGTTGAGAGAGCGTTTGAGTGTGTGGGCTCAAAGTCAAAGGGGTCAATTCACACTTGACAGGATGATGGGATGTCAATTTTGATCTGGGCAGCCCAGGCCAGGCTCAGTTAGGAACGGCACGTGGTCAGTGTCGCTGCCACACAGTGGAGCATGGGGCGTGCCCCACAAGCTGTTTTATCGTAGCAACAGTCGTTGGCGCTTGGTGTGAGAGCGTTTCCCGAGATGGGATGCTTGCAGCTTGGAACGCGGCGGATGGTGGACAAGCTACTTTTTTTGGCGCCCAGAGGTGTTGAGCTGGTGGAGCAGCGAGCGTAGGCTCACGTGGCCATTGTAGTTGGCAGCCACTGTCGCATACGCACTCTCCAGGGTGTCCGAACCGACACGAATCTCGGCTGCACTCATGAGTTGGGCGATATCTTCCAGGCTACGATCACGGCTCAACTCACGGTCCGGAATGCCCTGCAACGTGTAGCGATCTGGGATGAGCAGCGTCCGGCTCGTCGTAGGGTCTCCATAATTCTGTGGATTTGTCAGCAAAGCATGCGGCCAAGAGTCGATCAGCATCGCATTCAGGTGGGCCAGACCCCCGCTCTCTCCAAACCGGCCCGTGGACGCAGGACTGACCGTAACATTGTCGACAGGCATGCGCCGGGGCGGCTGGCGGTCAGTACGGATGGAGGGGACGCCAAAAATGCGATCTGCTGTCTCGTGTGCTTGCCGGCGCTGGGTTGCATCTTGGCCATTGCCATCGCATACAGGCTGGCGCCAGTCTAGGACATCGACGAGCTCGTCGACGTCCACGAGCTCGGTTCCATCAGCACTGGGGATGGCCACGGCCGCAAACAACCGCTCAATATCCTTGGCCTCGAGCCAGACTTGCTGTGCCTCCAGCACACGCTGAGCCTCGGCGCGCGTCAGCTGGTGACCACTCTGGTGCTGTGCCGTGGCGGCGTCAAGTGCCGCTTGCAAAGCCGTGACATTGCGAAAACCCTGGCACATGAGCTTGGGGCGAAGATCACGAGCCACGGCTTCTTGTGACAACATGCGTTGCTACAGGTAGCCCGAGGGAGCACCCAAGGGAGCAGGGGCAAAAGGTGAGAAAGCCGGGGGCAGGCAAGCAGGTCAAGCGCAGGAACCAGCAGGGTGAGTTGCTGTGGCCTGGGGTACGGGCGTACATGGCTGCTTTTATCCGGGTGAAGCACGTCCACCAGACGATGGCTGTCGACAGGCAAAGGAAGGCCCAAGGGCTCAGTTGTGCTTGGATCAATGCGAGACGGCTCGGCTTCCAGAGGATGGTCCCAGGTGAGGGCTGTGCGCACGTGAATCCCACGGCGGTCATTGGGTGTGGGTGTACCATAAGCCTTGTCCATGGAAAAACTGCTGCTGTCGTAATTGCGGCGGACTTGAGTGCCAGGCTCCGCCTCGCCACGGAGGCGGAGCGAGCCAGCAAGGTGCTCGGGCCGCACTTCGGATGGTGTCTCATCGCGGAAGCACTCGGCGACGCTGCCCACTGCACAGAGCAAGACACACGGTCATTGAGAGGCGGATAAGCTGGCCTGGGTGGGGATGATGGAGGGGTGCAAAGTATTGTGCTTGGACCATGCTTAGTCTTAATACAAGAAAAAAAAACAAAGGCCTTGCCCAGTGAATAGACGTACACTTGACCGTGGCGATGCCAAATGTGCTGTCCGGGTTGGCAGCGGAAGGCAGGTTTCGGCGGCCTTGCTGTGCTTGCTGTTGGTCAAGAACCTCTTGCAGTGCGTGTTTCTGCATCTTGAGCGTGTCTGGCACCTTAAAAAAAACAAAAAAACCAAGAATTATAAAGCCAGAGGTAAAGGGCTGCGAAACCCTGGCAGAACGCACGCGGATCAGGGCGGGGCGGACGAACCGAGAGATCACTTGGGGTTCCGGAGGGCACGCCGAGGATGCGTTGAGTCACGTCGCCACCCACATCGGAGCGATAGGGTCGGCGTTGGCCGACTTGGCCCGCATTGTAGCGCTGAAATTCACGGACACGATCAGGCGTCTCGGGCTGTCGGAAGCGTGGGTTGCAGAGCCGAGGAGCAAGGCCAAGTATCACACAGGTTAGGGCTCGGCGTGAGCTTGGTCAGGCGGGTGCGAGGGTCGAGCTGACCAGGCAGCACGCACCCGACTTGAGCGATCATGGTTCATGGTGTGTCGCAACTCGTTGCCAATGGACCTGTTGGCAATGCCCGCCTGAAGACGGGATAGGGATGAGTACCCGGGGGTTGATTCTGGACTCGGGGATAGTAGTAGGGTGCTGGGTATGGGCCGTGGGCAAAAAGAACGTACAGCGCGCATATCGGGCGTGGTGTCTCGGAAACGCCCAGCGTTGGCCATGATTGATGTTACGAACTGAGCAGGCAAACCTGAAAGCGACCCTCGCCGGTCCAAGCTCGCTCAAGCTCAAGCTCAGGTGGGGGTTGTACCGGGGAAGAGCACGCGGCGCTGGATGGAAAGAAGCCAAGGGCGGCGAAGACTGCCAGCTCGAGCACGGAGGCTAATCTGGACAGCGGTGGTCAAGCAATGCCTGTCTAATCTTGATGAGAAGAAGCTCCAGGGAAGAAACAAATCGAGGAGAAATGAGCGACTTGTGCACCCGCGAGTGTGCGCGGCGAGCGGCGAGTGAGAGAGTGCGATCGAGCCCCGTGATGGTGCCAGCACGTCCGTGTGGCCGATGCGAACTACACGTGTGACAAACACAAGCTATAGTACGTTATACCAAGGTACACATGTGTGACAGAAGTCATGTCATGTATCGCGTCACCAGTACGTACCCCCACCTCGGTTGTCAAGGCCTGCGGACGGGGTTTATAATAAATAACACCTCCCCAAAGTATACTAAAAGTCAACACCTGCAGGCACACAAACGAAGATAAAAGTGTGATATGTATTATACTTTAAACGTAGTGCGACAACAAAAGACAAAATTTTTTCATTTTGATCCTGGTAAGAGAGAGAGAGAGAGAGAGAATGAGAGAGAGAGAGACACGAAGGGAAAGGGCAGCGCCGGGGCGGAAAGCGCTGGGGCGTCAGTGGCTGAGCGGGCAGTTTGGGATCGCTTTGGCATTTGGCTCGAGGGATATGATGCGGGGCCTGGTTGCCTTGTGTTGTTGGGATTCAGAGTCCCATCAAAACGTCTCCGGCTCACCAACACACCTCACGACTGCATCAATCAACCGGCTCGGGGCGGTCCCGGGGGCGCCGGCCTCCAGGGGGGGTTTGTGATGATGGTGGTGGTGATGGTAGTGGTGGTGGTGGTGGTGGTGGTGGGGCAGAGTGTGGCCTTGGGATTTTTGAACCCGATCTGGCTGTGGGATCGGTGCAGGGTCTGGCACAATCACGAAACTCGTCACTCTCTTCCTTCCTCTCTCGTGCTACGCCCCCCTTCTTCCCCCCCCCCTCTTCCCCCCGCGCGCTGGCTAGTCGGCGCAGAGCCTCACTTGGAATTGGTTGATACTTGCTAGGATCTTCCTGCGTGGTCCGCCTGCTGTACCCCGCCTGGCATTGGGTCGAGGCGCCAGGCTGTTGTGGGATCTCGTGCTCGCTCCACGCCGCACACATAGCCCAGAATCTGCTTCACTCGTCCCCTCATCAGCATTGCATCGGCGCTTCTCTCGGCACCATGGTCGAACTCACGGTTTTGGCCGTGGTGGGGTACATCCTCACCAGCCTCCCGCTCCCCATGTATGGCCTGTTTGTTGGTACGTCCGTTTCACTACATTTATTTGCCTGGATGCATCTCGGCTCCTCTACAGCCAGGCTACTCTACAGCTCGACCTCAGGCTCATGATGCCGATTTCCTCGCAGGCATCCTGGATGGACTCACTCGCTTCTTGGGCAATCGTATGTGGTACTATCGGTTGGATGAGTGGGTGTACAAGCACTTTCAGCGCATCGTTCTCATGTTTATCAAGGACATTGGGGCCACCGAGGTATGGATTGCTGGCTCATCATCATTTCACCAGTTCCTTCGTGCTTGTCACCCGCCTCATCCTTGCCGTGCGTGCGTCATCCTTGCGTTTCTCTTGACCACATTGTAACCGCTGCCTCTACGTGCCTTTGGTTAGACCGTCATGTATGGCGATGCACCCCAGCCTGAGAAAGCCGTCCTCATCTGTAACCACCAGGTATCGACTCCCTACATCTCTGTCGCTGGGTTCGCCCACAGCCCAGCCCCGCCGGCCCCGGACGGCTCAACTGCGTTGACTCACAATTTACCGCGTCCTTTTGCGCTGCTTCCCCATGCAGTGTACAGCCGATGCCTTTATCATCGACATGGTCGCACACCAAGGCTCGCGCCTGGGGCACTTGCAGTTTCTCCTCAAAAATTCTCTCAAGTACCTGCCCCTTTTCGGACCTTACTGGAAGCAGCACGGCTTTGTGTACCTCAAGCGCTCCTGGGCCTCGGACAAGCTGGCGATTGAGCGCAACCTTGCACTCACGCAGGAACGCCCCGTGCCTTACTGGATGTGCCTCTTTCCTGAAGGCACCCGTCGAACCCACAACCCCAAGCCCCCCTCCCGTCCTGGTTGGTTTCCGTGGGCCTGTATCCCCTGTACATTACCACCCGGTTCCCACCGCTGCATTGCCAGCATTCTGATGCGTGCGCACCTCCTCCCAATGTCCTCCACATTTTAGATATTCCTACGTACCCTCACGTGTTGGCCCCGCGCTACAAGGTTTGTACATGCACCTCCGCGAACCAATGTCTCAAGCTGCCCAGCATGAGTCTCACGGCGTGGGCATATCCAGGGGTTCATTGCCTGCATTGAGCAATTACGCAGCGATGCCACTGCCATTTATGATTTGACAATCGCCTACGATCACAAGGATGCCAACGGCCAGCATCCTGAACCTCCCTCTATCCACGGCATTCTTCACCCAAAGTACCACCGCGTGGCTTGCCATGTGGACCGCATCGACATGTCCACCGTGCCGCAGGTCTGTGCACAAATTTACTGCAAGATGGCCTCATTCTTGATCCAAACTCCGAGTCGTGGGTCACCGGGCTGCATCATCTCACTGGTGTGCTACATCTTCATTCCAGGGCGAGGAAGCGATCCGAGACTGGCTCAGTCATCGTTGGGAGGCCAAGAATGAGTATGTCCTGTCTCTGTTCTTGATGGCCCCCCATCCCCCCGCAGCCCCGGTGCCGTTGACTCACAATCACCCACACGCTTGCAGCCTGCTGGCCAAGTTTTATGAGGGCAAGGATTTTCCAGGTATGTGCCTGTTGCCCGTCAAACTGCTTGTCTTTTCGTGGCTCTGGGCATTTTGTGTGAAGCATCTCATTTTCCCACCATGCGTCTGCCTTGTAGACAAGCGGGGCGCCTTTCAGATTGGCCTTGAGCACTATTTCTGGGATATTGGCATTGCGGTCTTGGTGACCCTCTTCTCTTATGGCACTGTCTTTGGTTCGTTTGGCTGTCGGGACGCCAGGGCTGAAGCTGGCGAATCCGCTCGCGCTTGATTCCTCTCACGTGTCATGTGTGCTCAATCGTGGGTCAGGCCGTACGTGGTTTCTTTGGCCCGGACTTGTCTTCAACCTGGTGGTCTACATCTGGGGCATCATTCGGCACTGATGTATGTAAGCAGCGGCCGACAGCAATAGCGCACATCATCATCATCATCTTCAACATCATCATCATCATCATCATCAGGCGTGCAAGAACACGAATCAGACATGATCAAAGGACGGCGAAACCTGAATCACTCAGATGTAAAATTCGAGCCCCGGGCACCTGGCAAGCAAAGCACATACCCACACTCAAGGATGGCAGATCTTGATGTGAATACAATAAAAAACGATCTGGTCTGTTGTTGTTTTCTTGTATAGCCCCAGATGCCGATGAGGGCTACTCAGGGGCTCATAGGTGGCGTTGATGACCAATGACTGAGGTACAGTGGCTGACGAATCGATTCATTTGAACAAGCGTCGGAAACGGATTGGCTAAGAAACCGAGCGCTGGTCTGCCGACGCGCACCATGGCTGAGTGAACCAAACAGGCAAGGGGGTTGCGTGACAGCGCAAGCAATCAAGACTTTTCTGGGACCCATGCAACGAGCATGGGAATTTCGTCGGGCTGTGCCTCAAGCCGTAGCCGACCAGCCAGGGCCAGAAGCTCTTCGTTGGCATGTTCGAGGCGAGACTTGAGGTGTGCTTTGAGGCTTGGGTCAGTCTTGGCAGCACGTCGTTGGTGGCGAAAGTCTGGAGCCGTGAACCCGATAATGCGGGTAAGAATATCGTTGCTGAGCCTGGCACGGCAATCTCCATCCACTTGATCCAAGGCAAAGTGGGCGACAAGGCGCCAGCCCTCACGTTCTGCAGCCAGGTTGCCATCAAAGGCGGCGAGGCGGCCTTTAAACCACTGACGCTTATGGCCCACTTCGGCCACGGGAACCAGGTGGCGTGCTTTCTTAGGGGTCGCTGAAGCAGCGTGTAGCGTAGCATTCGCTGCCGATGGCAAACCAGTCGCTTCTCGCCCCGATTTCGTGTGCCTTGACGAATTTTGTTGTTGTTGTCCTTGATGTTGGTTTTGTTGTTGTTGTTGTCCTTGATGTTGGTTTTGGTGTTGTTGTTGTTGTTGTTGTTGTTGGTGTTGGTGTTGCTGTTTCTGGTGAAAGGCTTCCTCAGCCATTTGAAGGTGGGCATCAATATCCAGGTCGTGCACGACGTCTGGGGTATCGTCATGCGAAAGATTGGCCGCTGACGCGGGGACGCGGGTATCAGGGGGCTCTGCACCTGTCTCGCTTGGCTCAATCCTGGAGCAAGGAAAACCAGGAAATGCAGGGCGAGCCGCGTGACACAGCGAAAGAGATTAAAAAAAAAGGGGCGTTATCCCCGCACGACCCATGCAAGTGATAGTTGTGTTCGGGCCACGCACCCGAAGCAAGCACGTAACACAGCCAAGTGACCTGACTGAGGCTCGAGGGCGGGGACTTGTCCGCCCAGGACTTTTGTGTTACCCGGTTCGAGAAGCAGGAGGTTGCGCACCACTGGCGTACCTGCAGCCACTTGCAACTGGCGGGGCATGAACAGGGGCATGTTTGGGAGAGGCCGGGAATGATGGGCAGTGACGATGGGCTCTGGGCTGGGTGCGAGCGCAACAAACCTTGCAGCCAGGAGTCATAGCTGGCTGGAGCTGGGGCAGGGGCTTAATTTCGACGCCCTTGATTTCGTGAAGACCATCAGTCATTTTGATCTTGAGGATGCGATTGGCGCGGGTGTTTGAAATGCTGGGTGCAGGCTCATCGCTGTCCAAGGTGGTGTCGACACCACGTCGGCGCTCAGCCACGCGCTCGGCCTCTTCGAGCTGACTGTAGGCACTTTGGCTCACGTCGAGCAACGCGTTGACCTGTAATAGCACGGGGTGTGGCAAGCTGGTCCATTCAGCAGACCAGGCCGGGCCTGGGTGTTGCTGAACGGATGCACTCAAGTCGGTGTTCAGCCAAGCTGCGTAGAGGTCGTTCCAAGCTCGCTGCCAAAAACACAAGATGACATGAATGCACGGACACCAAAGCGGTGCGATCTTGAGGTGATGAGGTTCATGCCCAGCCGCTGACAGGTCATACGTGTTGTTGCGTCGCTGCACGAAGCCAAGCATCGTCCACCAGCGCGTGCAACGAACGGAAGCGCTGCCGTGTCGCCTCCATGATCGCTTGTTCGCTGGCACTACGCAGCCGTGCAGAGGTTGTGTCAGAGAAGCAGGTTCATGCTGAAATGCTGACAAGCTTATCATCAACACTGAATCAGAGAAGCTACGTGAGAGAAAGAGAGAGAGAGAGAGAGAAGAGAAGAGAGATGATCATTCTTTAACGGTTTGAAACGGTTTTTTCGTGTGTGTGTGTGTGTGTGTGTGTGTGTGTGTGTGTGTGTGTGTGTGTGTGTGTGTGTGTGTGTGTGTGTGTGTTTTGGCGTTCAGGCGTCAGTTCCGACTTTGCCAATTTGGCGGCGGCAATGTTGCTGCTGCTGAGGGGTATTTACATGTTCATACGTCGGGTGTGTGTGTGTGTGTGTGTGTGGACAACTTGCCAGTTTTCGGTTGATTGGGGCGTGATGGATGAGGATAGGTGTGTCAACTGCAAACAAAAGGGGAGCAGCACTACTGTAGGGCCATGTGATCGGCAGCCTCGCGCGTACTCGGGGAAACGTCGGATACTTCTCAAGGGGAAAAAAAAATAAAAAAAATCAGTCAAGCGGCGGTGCAGAGTAGGAAAGCAACGATCAGCCAGAGAGAGACCCAAGAGCAATCAAGCAAAAGCAATCCAATCAACTCCAATTGTTCAACAATCCTCCGAAAGTTGATGGTTCTTTACTTGCCCATAAAGCAAGTGAGGCTGTCATCCATGGCTTGGAGCCAGGGGGTGTGGTGCACGGGGGCCATGGTGCCAGTGACGGGTGACTTGAAGGCGTGATCGCGGTAGCCTACGATGGACTCCTTTTTGTGGCCCTTCCAGGCCTTGAACATGTCGGCACAGGCGTCGAGGTCAAAGGTGGGATAGTCGGACTTGACCAGGAGGTCCCGGACATAGTCGGTCTGGTAGTCAATCTGCTGGTAACCAGTTTCCGCGGCGATTTCGCGCTTGGCCCACACTTCCATGTCCTTGGCGCGGGCTTCGGCGTCTGGCAGCTGGCGGCGGCCCATGATCAGATCGCGAGCGAGGTAGGCCTGGGCGTCAAACATGGTAAAGGTGTACCATTGATCCTGCATGCCCAGGTAGTAGAGCTGAGTGTTGTCGTGCCAGACGACGCCCTTGTACAGGTTCGGGGGACACAGGCGGTTCGTGGTGCGCAGGCGGAGGTTATCCGCCAGGTAGGGGAACACGTGTTGGTAGCCCGTGCAGAGGATGACAGCGTCCACTTCGCGAGTGATACCACCTTGGAAGTGGGCCGTGTTGCCCTCCAGCTTCTCCAGCAGGGGAATCTCCTCCATGCCTTCGGGCCAGGCAAAGCCCTGGGCAGCGGTGCGGTAGCTCATGCTGACTTGGCGGGCGCCGTACTTGTGCAACTGGAGGCCAATGTCCTCGGCCGAATACGAGGCACCAACAATGAGGATACGGCGATCCTTGAATTCGAGGGCATCGCGAAAGTCGTGAGCATGCAGCACACGACCCGGAAAGCGCTCGAGTCCCGGGAAGTAGGGCGCGTTGGGGGTGGAAAAGTGGCCGCCAGCACAAATAACACGGTCAAAGGTCGAGGTGGAGCGGGTATGGCTTGTCAGGTCCTCCACTGTCACGGCAAAGGTTGCCGTTTCGGCATCAAACTCAACGTTGCGCACGGCATGCGCAAAGCGAATGTAGTCGCGGATCTGGTGTTTCTTGGCGCGTCCAAGGACGTAGTCGGCCAGCACCTCGCGTGGCGGGAAGGAGGGAATCTGCTGGCCGTAATGCTCATCAAAGCTGTAATCGGCAAACTCCAAGCACTCCTTGGGACCTAGACGAGGCGTTGCATCGTCAATCGAAACGGGTGTGCGGGCCGGCATATCGAGCCAGCGGCGAGCATGCGTGGTGACCATCCTCACCATTGGACCAAAGGTAGCGGTACATGGAGCCGTGAACGGGCTCGCCATGCTCATCGAGGCCCGTGCGCCAGGTATAGTTCCACAAACCACCCCAATCGGACTGCTTGTCGTAGCAGACGAGTTCGGGAATCTCTTCACCGGCAGCCTGCAGCTTGGCAAAGGCGATCAGCGCGCTCAGACCCGAGGGGCCAGCGCCAATGATACACACGCGCAATTTGGTCATCCTATCGCACCCCCAAAACGGTTGGTCCAGCAAAGTGGCATGAGCATCGGAGGAGAAAAGCAGCAGTCCTCAAGCCCTGGAAGGGGGGGGGGCGTTACCTGAAGATTCAAGGCGGATTGGCAGGCCTACGTCCAATCAAACCACAAGAACAGTTCGTGACGTGAAATCGAGCAAGAAGAGAACCCCGAGATCAACCAGCCACAGCGTCCATGCACATACCAACACAATCAACTCCGATCAGCGTCCCGGACAGAGAGAAAGAGGAAGAGGAAGGGAGGGAGGGAGAGGAGGAGGGACGAGGGGCTGGTGTCGGGCAGGAAGGGGGCTGATAGGGGGCGGGCGACGAAGAAGGAAAATGCCACTTCAAGCTTACCCAACGTGCTGATAAGCTTCGTGCACTTTCTGCTGGAGTTGATGTAGTCAGAATAAGACTTAATGTCGATATTTAATATTAAAAGCTTATTTGCCTAATAACCCATATCAAGTTGTTGTGGTCCATAATGGAGTTGTTGTAGACTAGTTGATGACCATGGTCTTGTAATGTAAACTTTTATTCAAAAATGGAGGAGTATGGTGGCGCGGTGTAGGATCAAGTGTGTAAATGGTTACACTTTGCTACCTTACTATGGCTCGTGACGTCGGCGGGTGGCGGCGACTTTAGATGGAGCGCTTTCGGTATCACGTTTGATGGATCGTTTATATCGGTGGGCGGCGGGAGCATGAGAAGGAGAAGTGCCGGACGATTTGGGGGGTTGAGGGGCAGCTTCTGCTTCTGCAGCTTCTACTTTCATTCACTATGACTACGACTACTACGACTGCTACCATTATTTTCAATACTAATATGAAGGCATCTATGGTCAGCTAATGATGTGGGTCCTGTCTGGCTAGGCTAGGCTGTTGGCGAGGCTGTCACCAGGCGCATCCTGTTTTTCGGGGATACCGTTGGTAAAGCAAGCCAACCGCACGCGTCTGCCCCAGAGAGCACGAAACGAGAATGAGGGTCTGTCATACAAGCACGGGCACGCTGGGGGGTGGGTTGGCTAGACTCACGGCGGGCTCGGGGCTTGCTGAGCTTCGACGGCCTCCATGGGCTTGCCACCGGATGGTCCCACCCGATTGGAGCGGGCAGAGCAGCAATCACGAAACGCTCGGCAGCGTGTGTTGGGAGTAGCCGCATTTTTGGGATTGGCCTCCTCCTCGGCCTCGGCTGCCAACCGTGCCTCCTCCTCCGCCCGTTGCTTCTTGATGAACTCGAACGTCGACATTTTGTTGGAAACTTGAGTGCACGGATCCGCCCGAGTCGCACAAACATGCAGAGTGGTCGCCATAGGTGAGCATCTTGTGCCCCGCGCAAAAGCTCAAAAGGAAAAAAAAAAAAAAAGAGACCACAAGAAGAACAACCAAAGGGGTTGGTGCGTGATGGACAAAGTGTGGCCCGGCTACCGGAAAAGGCTGGCTTGCAACTTTGATCAACGTACTGAGCATGATATGAAAGGTCAAGAGCTGCCAGAGCATAAAGGCCGCGAGGCCGTTCAAGATGATGGTCACAACCAATAAAACTGTCATGCCGGCATCCGTTACATCGTGGCCCAGGACCTGCAAGTCTATTCAGAGCGAAACCGGCAAGGAAGAAAGCAAAAAAAAAGGAAGAAAAAAAAAACGAACAAGCAAGCAGCGCAGCCGGTGAGACCGTGGGCTCGAATGCAGGGGCAGCGCTGGGCCTTGTCGAAAAGCCTGGGGTCAGCTGCAGGGGTTCAAACCTCGGCGATCAGGGCTGAGGTGCAGATGATCGGAATCACGGAAGGCGTGGAGAGCGATGAGGAGGTAAAAGAGCAGCGCAAAGAGGGCCGCGGTCCCGAGGGCACCGGCAAGGATGCTGACGAAGAAGAGCTTGTAGGTGCGACCACCAACGCAATTGTTCATCCAGCGGCAATGATGGTCAAAGTCCGACACGCACTTGTTGCAAGCGCTGCAGTGCTTGGCCGTGGAGCTGACGCGCACCTGACAAAAGTAGCACTCTTGGTTCATAATCACATGTTTGCGTTGGCTGCGGTCAATTGTGGTGGGCCGAGCCAGGTCGTAGCGCACGGCCGGATCCGCGGGGTCCATGCAGGTGCAGACGGCCAAGGTCACGGCGTGCACGCCAAAGAGAATCCCGGGTCCAAAAAAGGCCAAGGCTTGCCAGCGAACGGCAACGTTGGGGGCCAAGCCACCAAAGAGAATCAGGGCAAAGTAGGCAATGAAGACCCAGGCCCCAATCTGCTGGTTGTTGAGCGGCCATTCCAACCCGTGCCGCCGTACAAACTCATCCTTGATGGTTGGCATGTTGCTGTGCCGCCGCGCTGTTTTCAACCCCGCCAACAACAACAACCGGTGGTGCCAGGGCCGTCCACCTGTGTGCTCCACCGAGGCGCCTCAACAGCAATCAAGCCCCAGACGCCACCACCCAGCGTTTGCTCGTCAACCAGCGACAGCACAGTGCGACAGCGCGCGCGCGCGTGAGAGAGAGAGAGATCAAAATTTTTGCCTTGAGAGATGATGATCAGAAGGGTGCAGCTGGTAGAGAGGGGGGCCGAGTATTCATATTTCATAGCAGTATTTCAGAGGTAAAAGCAGAGAGCATGCATCACATGGAAATATCGGAAGAGACAATGGGGCCAAAAGTTTGCTGTAGTTTTGTTGTCAAGACTGAGTCAGGCAAAGAACGGAGAAAAAACCCGGTTAAAGTCGTCTATGCTTGTTGTACATTTGTCAGCTTCTTCTTATTTGTCAGCCAAACTCGATAATTGATCTGACATTTTAACATCGGTTCACATCTCTGAACAACGTTGTGCTACACCTTGATTTTACCAGCTGAACGACCCGGAACTCTCCGTCTCTCTGTCGTTCTTCTGCGCGCGCGCTCTCTCTCTCTCTCTGTGTCGGCGAACGACGACGGGGCGTCATGACTGAGTCGAGGGAGGAGAAGGGCTTTGCGATCGGTCGCCTGAGCCGTGATCGGGTGCGTAAGCCTGGGGAAGGGTGTGGAGTGTGGGTGATGTGAAGCGGGGTGATGGTATAAAGCGGGGGTGGGGGTGGGGGTGATGTGGTGACGATGTGGACATACTCACTGGGGGCTTGGGTCGGCTTCTGCGTCTTGTAGCTGAGCTGTGCGTACGAGCCCGTGAGCGCTTGGCCGGCGGATGTGTGGAGTTCTTGTGCACCCGAGGCGTTGGAGAACCTGCACGGGTCAGTCACCCTCCCAGGGTCGTCACCATTACATGGTGTGGGCTTTGACCAAGGCCTAGGTCTCACCAGAGGGATGCTCTCACAGGCTGGACTTGACGGGCTGCGAGTTGACGGACGATGATCTCGCCTTCCTGACGCTGTTCCCCAATCTCAAGGTGCGCACGCGCCAGGACCCTATTCACCAACCGGAATCTGGCATCTTGTTTATTTTCAAGTCGATCAGGGGTTCCACTGGCCCTGCGTACTGCGACAGGGGCTGGTTCTCCTCACACGCGTTGATGGTGCTGCTCACCGCTAGGACTTGGTGCTCGACCACAACGAAATCACCAGTCATGCCAAACTGCCGCCCCTGCCCACCTGCACCTCCTTATCCCTCAATCGCAACGCCATCACCGACTACGCGCAGCTTGCGGTACCCCTCCAACTCCACCACGCTGTTTGTGCCAGTGCCATTCTCTTTCTCCTTCCTCTCATTCTGAAAATTTGGGCGTGCATGTCCTCATTGACAGGAGGTGCTGGCAGCTGCGTGCCCACAACTTTCATTCCTCAGCTTGATGATGAATCCCGGCAGCCGCCACGAAATGTTGGGTCATTCAGAGGAGCAGTGTGCCGTCTATCGCTCAACCATCGTCCGAACCCTGCCCCACCTCCACTTTCTCGACACGCATCGCGTTGAGGAGGTCGAACGCCCCTCCAAAACAACCACATTGCCGCTGTCGGCCAAAACAGTTCCTTCCGACTTCAAGGTGCCGTCTCCTTCGACATCCATCAACCCATCAGAACCCCAAGCCGCTTCAAAACAACCCGAGTCAGAGCCTGGTACAAAGCCCGAGCCCGAGCCAGAACCCGAGCCCGAGTCAGAGCCCGAGCCCGAGCCCGAGCCAGAACCCGAAATCAATGTGGATCTGCAGGACTTGCAGCAGCTGGCGGCTGAAATCAATCTTGATGCTGGTGGGTGAATGCACTCGCCTGCGCCACACCTTTCTCTTGCCCCTGCTCTCAACAGCCATGTCACACCAGCTGTCACACCGCAGGGCCCTGCGGCACCGGCACCGATGCCCGAGGACTACGAGAACAACGACCTTGCACCCAGTGATCATGTGCCTTTGCAAGTCGTGGTCGATCCCGACACAGAGGTCCCGGCGCCACGCCGTCGCAGCGGCGACTCACGGGTGCGGGTAGTCGCTTCATCGCCACGCGCCGTCGCGCCCAACCGCCCCTCGCCCTTCACCCCTCACTCTCGCTCGCTCTCGTTCCCAATTGGCGTACTTGTTGTTTCTGGTGGATAGCGGAGCACCCGGCTTGAGCGGCTCTCTCGGCTCATGGACAGCGTTAGCGAAGAAGGCTCGCTGCCCGGTGTCTCCGAATCAGAGGTTGCCACTGCCTCAGAGCTTGGTCTTAGCGTGGGCAGCGCCGTGGATGTGATTGATGAGGCCGAGAGTGAGGCCGAGGCCACGTCCCCGGGTCCAGGTGAAGCAGGCGCGCCCGAGTGTAACGAAGAACCAGGACAGGAAGAGGTGGACACGGTTGCACCTGTAGCGGTTGAAGCAAAAGCCAAACCGTCGCGCTGGCGCCACGAGCGCGCCGACGATCAGACCCTCGCGTTTGCTTGCGTGAGTATGGGCGAACACACACACTGGTTTCGACCTTTGCGCCTACTTTGCCGTTGCGAATACCACCAGACCCCGCTCACATCTCGATTTTTCTGGGTGGCGTAGCGTTTGGCCCAAGAACACGAAGCGTTGCTTGCGGATGAAGGGCCTGGGCTGCTTCAGTTTGTCCAAGAATGGTTTGCAACGTCGGAAGCCCACTCTGGTACGACGAGGGCGTGCACGGGATGGGACGAATTCTTGGGGAGCGTACAGCGAGTCCATTGACGGGGCTCACTGGAGTTGGCCGACATGCTTGCCTCACAACATTCTTATGGTGCACGGTGGCACTGCAATTTGTGCTTCGTATCAGCTGGGGAAGAGCGAGCGTCTTTGGCGGCCGCCTTTCGATTACCGTACAACACGGCCATGCGCAGCCTACGCCACACCCACGCCGAACCCCTCAACGCATACATGGTAGGTAAAGAGAGAGAAAGACGTGGGACAACGGCATCCCTCACAGGTCGGCGTCGACCACTCATGCTGCCGTGCCCCTTCTTCTTTTGATGGCTGCCGGGTAGCACTTTGGTGTTGCGGTGCGACCAGCTCTGACGACCGTGCTGTCCAATCCCACTGGCCCGCGCATGGCTGGGATTATGGTCGATTTGTGGGAGGCCATGCCGCCGCGAGGTGAGTCGGCCTTTTTTTTTTTTTTTTTTTTTTTTTTTTTTTTTTTTTTTTCTTTTCTTTTGAGCCAGGCACACCAAACACGGGTGGTTTCTGACCCGTGCTCGCTTGCGCAAACTCAGGGTTAAAGTTGTTTGAGGCCTTGGCCCAACAAGACATGGCAAGCTATTGTGACTTTTATGGCCATTATCCAGATGGTACCCCGTGCGAGGTGATCAAATACGGCTAAGAGTCATGATGAGATCGGAGGGCGGGCATTTTTACGCCTGTTCCTGTTAATCGGGCTAGTTGAGTCATTGGGTGCAGATGTGACTGTCATGCCATTGTGCGAGGTTTGGCCTTGGCCATGCATCTGCGGTTGAAGCGAGATGCCTTAAGTCCAGCTGCTCGTGGGATGGGACACAGCGCACTTGAATATGGGACACAGGACCACCATGGCACTGGGAGACGTCCACCGTATTCCCTACAACGGATGGGCAATCAACTTCTTATCAAGCTGGTGCTGCGCCGGTACAGGGCCGGTGCAGAGCACAGCAAGGCCAGAGCAGCGAGCGGGGAGGAGCACCCACCCTCCCCCCCCCCCCCACACACACACAGAGCCATCTAGATTGTCTCGTGATTACATCAAGCCAATCTGTGGACGGGTTGTGATGAAGAAATGGCAGCCGTTACCTCCAAGTCTCCCATCACACACTTAGACAGCCAGACAGTGAGAGGATGTATCCAACCCGCAACCCCGCCCCCGCCGCCCCCAAACGCTGGCTATTGAGCATGCATGTTGCCAGTGATCAGTGCCCTAAAGAGCGCGCCCCCGCCGCCCGTAGTTGTTCGTCATCACTGGAGTGACCATCATGCAACATCATCATCCTGAGTCATCACATCACATCCTTCAAGTGTGGCTTTTCTACATCCAATGTGTGGGAAAAATAGGCTAAATTAGCTTTGGGATTGAGTTGAGCGTGTGTGTGATCTGACATACACGTGTGTGTGATTGAGGCTATTACAAGTGTCAGGTTGATGCAACGCGCGCGCATTTTTATTTTTCTCCTCAACAGCAACGGCAGTGCGTCAAGCCCGACTCCCTGGTCCTCGCGCCTCGACTCCACTCGGCGTGACTGCTTGGTATGTGCCCTGCATCGGCCTTGGACGTCTCGTACTTCTCGTGTGTCAGTGGTTGCATTTGTGAACGTGCGTCAGTGTCCCCTCCCTCCCTCTCTCTCCCTGATCGCCGCGTATTGACACTGGCAGCTGGCACGCTGCCTTTTCTCGCCTGTGCGTGCCGTGCGGGGGCTAACATGATGACTGCTTCTTGTGCTTCTTATTCATGCGCAGGGGCCTGTTGATCAATTCTTGACCATCGTACTCTGGCCTGGCCTTGGCCTCTGGCGTGCGTGGAATCAGGACAACTGCCATTCTTGCCCAACGCCATCCAACATGCCGGAACCCAATCGCCTGTCTCTGCTGGCGTAAGTCGTGGGCCATAACTAGAGGACACCGCTTCCGCATGCAGTCCCACCTTGTGATGGCGACCATGGGCGTGGTTATGCTTTTGCCGTGCTGACCTTTTGCGGCTGGACTCCACTCCATTGGTGTAGGACCCTGCTGCGGGAAACGTCATGGCCTTCACTGCTGGTCGCCCTACTGGCCCTCGTGTTTTGCCACTTTGTCATGGCAGTTCAAAAGCAAAACTGGTGCGTGACGTGACCTGGGATACACTTGGGTTCTTCTGTGTGCAGGCAACGTTGTCCTGTGACACCGTGCCACGTTCCCCTCATGTCATCGGTGCACAATTCAGGCCCGTGACCAATGTGACAATCGGCGAGTACCCCTTTCTCAAGGCCGAGCGCGAACGCGTGCCTTCTTGGGCCTTTGTCCTCTATGGCTTTCTCCTTGGTCCCTACGTAGCCCTCATTGAGATGTTTGTGGTCCGGTTCGTAGCATATTCCTCACGCCCTCCTCGCTCTCGCTGCCCTCTTCTCCTTGCTCTCTTCCGTGCACTGCTGTCTCAACACTTCGACTCTTAACCCTGACACATACAACTATGTTGCGCTGGTAGACATGGCCCACGCCGCCTTCGCATCGTCATGGCCACCAACGCTCTTCTCATTTGCTGGGAGGGCTTCCTCTGGACCCTTGCCGTGACAGGTTTGTCCTCGTAGCTGCAGCCCCATGGCTTCCTTCCTCTGGTGCCCACACACATCTCTGTGCTCATGGCGCTCCAATTATGCCAACAACCAAACGCTTGGACCTTGATGCGATGCACACAGAGATGGCCAAGCACTGGGTGGCCGAACCCCGCCCCGACTATGAGCATCGCTGCCTCGGCGTGGGTGGCACCATCTCTCTTGACAACGATGGCAACGTCGTCTGTCTCTACGGTATTGGGGACGGCAACATGTCCTTCCCCTCCGGCCACAGCAGCGGTAGTCTATTTGGCGGCATCTTCGCCTCAGGCTATTGTCTCTGGGTCGCCTTTTTCCGCCGAGCCGTACGTAACGTGTTCCCGTCGCTCCGCCTGCCATCAGGGTCCAGATTCGGTTTTTGGTCAGTCGCTCACCCCTTCTACGTCGGCCAATGCACACGTCATACAGGACACCTACTTTCGCACGCATCACGGGCGCTGGAAATCTTATGCAGCTGCCCGATACACCGAGCTGCTCTTCATCCTCTGCATGTGGCCCCTCTTTTTCTCGAGCTATGTCGCAATTAGCCGCATCGTCGATCACCGCCACTCGCCTGCCGATGTGACTGCCGGATCCTTGATTGGCATTGTTCTCGGCACCATCTTCCTGGCGCGTCTCTTGGCACGCTCCTCAACCCACCTCCCCGTGATTCATGGCTTTCACAAGTCCGATGCCATGACATCCCCGCTCGTCGATGATTCGATGGCCGTGAGCATGGACGGTTTTGATGACGATATCAGCGATGGTGGTTTGTAAACGAATCGGTCTGCACCAACATTGAGCCCGTCCAATGCCGAGAATTGGTCTTTTGGCATTTCTCTAAGGAGGGAAATCTTCCTCGCTGGCTGCGGAACCATTTGATCAATGCGCTGGTGAAACGCACTCGGCACTTGGGCGGTACATCTCCATGTAGCAGGTCCAAGGACACTGCCGGCTTGATGTCATGTGAAGCCCATGCTATGGAGCACACTTGCTCCTTCTGTCCCCGCGGGACCCCTTGTCCTTTGACCCTGCCTCGTGCGCAGCTCTTTTATTTTTTATGCTGCGCTGAATCTACCGCCGCGCGGGTGGTCTTGAGGCTGTTTGATGTTCGTGGTCGACCACATCGCTCCATTGCTCTGGTGGTTCAATTGACATGTGAATCAATTATCAGAAGAAAAAGAAGAAAAGTCAAAATAGTGTCACGTGTCACGTGTCCAACCCCCGTTCTACACTTGTGCAGCGGGGTCTTGAAGGCCCGAACCCCTCGCCAACTCCATCGTTTCGAACACAATTAGTTCTACCGGCGTTGTCGATCACCGGCCGCTCGGAGGTGGGCGTAGATGCGTGCTTGCAATCCAGCATTTGAGTTGATCTGAACACAAGATGGCCAGCCCGCGAGATGAGGGTGCTACACACTAGCTGGCACGCCAAGACGAAACCAAAAAGTCAAACCTCTGGCTTGAGGGCGTAGGCGTTCAAGTCATCCCAGCGCTTGAGCTCGTTAAGCGTCTAAGAGATCAGTGCACGCCCAAAGTGAGAGACACGCCCGTTCCAAGCAACGCGAAGTGGACTAGGCGCCGGGGAGGACACACGTCGACGGCGAGGTCATGACAGTGAGCTCGACTCGCAAGTTGGTAGCGCTGATCTGCATCGCCGACGAGCTTGATATACGGTTCAATGCGAGCTGGGGGGGCGTGTACTTCAGTCAGCAACTCCACGGCCCGGATCACATTGATTCTTGGCTGCAGCCCAGAGCCCCCGAAAAAGCTGCGCCCACTATTAAGTTTATCAAACTGCCCCACGGTGGCCACCGTCCATCTGTGAGCTGGCGGGTGGTCGACTCCAAATACGCGGACGGGGCTTGCATACCTCTTGAAAATTATGACTCTTGGCCAGGCCACCAAGCGCGGCATGACCATGCTGCACCTCGCTCATGCCAAATTTCTGCAAAGGACAAGCGCAGATGTCCAGACCAGATGAGATGGGAATGAATGGGTCGAGCAGCGAAGCGCTTTGCTGCACGAGACCTGCCTCGCGCATGGCTTTGCTATTGCATAGGGTGGCATTGGCGTCGTAGGCACTCATGGCCACAAAAAAGACCGTCGTGGCCATGGGCATGCCGACCAGGGACGTGGTCGGCTAGACAAAGGCACCCGGCGTGAGGTGGGTGGGCTTGACGTTGGCATAGCAGAGCAATGAGCTGAAGGACAAACATTGTATTTTGCATCCAGCTGATGCTGGAAGCGCAGAAGATGGCTGTATGTGGAAGCATGAGCTTGGTTGCTCTCGGAGAAAAGCTCACTGGCCGTGGCAGGTCTGCGTGGCGAGAGGCCGTGCCGGGAGACGGAGCAGCAGCATGAGTGGAGTCAGTGTTCGAGCGATCCGAGGCGCGCATTGATTACCCGTCGGCTGTGAGAAGGGTTGAGAGCCACTCGGCCCGCGCCAGGCCCGTGTGTTGGCGAAGATAAGCGCGCAGCGCTGTTCCTCGCAACTAAGAGACGGTTGGAAGCACGGCATACAGGACGGTTGAGGAAACCACACAAGAGTCGCGCGAGGTTGATGGCGGAGCAACACACCTTTGGGTTGGTGTGCATGCACTTGCGGCAGAGCTGGAGGAGGGTGTCCCACTCCCCGACTCCTTCCAACCAAGCGGCAAAGTGCTGCAGGCGAGTCAAAATGTGCGGTCAAGTGCATCGGGTGAAGGTTGGCCCAAGTCTAGAGAGTTTCCTTTCTTAAAAAAAAAGAAAAAAAGGAGGGCTGACGGACGCCATCAAAGTCCTTACGTCTTGAGCCAGGACCGAATTTTTTAGCAGGGCACAGAAGACGTCAAACTGCGTTGTATTATACAAGTGGAGCAGGGCCTGGGGTGTCGGGTGCAGCAACAAGTGGGGTCTGATCAGGTGGAGCCTAGTAGGCTGGTCGTGCCATCTGTGGCTGGGAGAGCATACCGCAAGCATGGCACGGCCTTGACGCATGGCTGCCGCATCGGTAAAAAGCTGCCATTTATCCTGAATGCTGCGCAAGCCACCCAGGGCACAGCTCTACACAATCGGGTAGTCAAGTTGCACAATCGTGAGCGAGGGTGCTGCCAGAGCGCTGCAGAGGACAGGCATGCCGTACATCGATATTCAAGCCAAGGCGGAAGCTGAGCGGGAGATCACTCTGGGCGACGGGTGGGGCTGCGGGCTGTGTGTGGCGTGGTGTGGTGGTGGACTGGGTTCGAGGCGCACTTGAACTCGTGCTCGGTCGGGTTGTGGGGGATTCCGGGGGTGGGCGAGCAACGCTGACAAGAGGTGTGCTGGGTTCCGAGTCGAAGAAATTGGCGGGGGCGGAGGTGTGGGCCAGCGTAATGTCGTCTTCCGGGTCGAAGCCTTCGCTGCCACCTGAATGGGCCTTGTTTGGAGGCGGGGCGCTAGCGGCGGGCTCGGGGCTAGGGGCGGAAACGGGCTTGGCATGAATCGGGCTGACAACAGTCTTGTTTGCAGCAGGAGCTGGGGCTTGGGCGGGAGCCTTGGTCGGCGCGGGAGCCGTTGTCGGGCTGGGAGCTGGAGCAGGAGCGGACCCGGTGAGCGTCAATGGACGCACATCGGCAGACTTGGCTGGGGCTGGTGGGTTTGGGGCTGGGGCTGAGACTGGGGCTGGGGCTGGGGCTGGGGCTGGGACTGTGGTGACCGAGGGTTTGGCGCCGGCACTGGGGCTAGCAAGGCGAAAGGGGTCGTGTAGCAGCTTTGGGTCGGGCGTCGCGGGTGGCCGGTGGCTCACAGGTGCTGGTTCCGCGGCCAAAAACGGGTTGCGAGGACGAGATCCCACCGCCGCACCAGCCCCCGATGGCTCGCGCCGTGCTGTTCCACTCCCACCACCCCTAACACCACTCCCTCCCGTCCTCCCACCGCCGCTGTTGCCGCCAGCACCGCTGCCATCAGTGCCGGCGCCGCCGCTGTCGCTCGCAAACGGATTCACTCGTCGACTCATTTCTGCGCGCCAGTCACTAAAAAGTATTTTACATCCTTTCGTAAAGCCAACAGGCAGTAAAACACTGATAATATAAAGTAAAATAGTTTTATCTACCACGGAGAAGATCAACCAGTGTTAAGAGTAACAATATCTTGTGATTTTCACAATTTGTTATGGGAGCGTCGGTCGCGACCGTTACGAGCGCGACGACCAACGCCACCTCAACGGACGCGACGAGCAGGTGCCAGCGTGCTGTGGGCTGGCCCCGATTGTTGACAAGATGCCTACGCCTGCCCAAGATGGATTGCAGCATGTGAGCTGCCTCCGCCGTTTTTTGGCGATTGTTGACAAGATGCCTACGCCTGCCCAAGATGGATTGCAGCATGTGGCTGCCTCCGCCGTTTTTTGGCCCCGCAAGCATCGGCCTGCACCCTCGCTGCCTCGGATCAAGATCGGGTGTTTGACCTCGTCATTGTGGGCTCCTCGAGGCGCCAAACAGAGCGTGGTGAGGTCACCTTTACGCTCTTGTCGCATCCAAACGTCCAGGATGTCCTGCATGCTCGACGCGTCAGGCAAGAGCGTACGGCGGCTTCTGCGGCGGCGCTGGAGGCAGCGCGTGCGTACTTGCGGGAACACAGGTCAAGCTCGCTGCCCGCCGCCGAGCCACCGATTGCGACCACCAACCTCACAAACACAAGGTCAGATCAGGGCTCGATTGAAGCCATCCCCGACGGTGGCACGGACGCAAACGACGCAGAGGAATGGGCCGTTGAACAGGCACAGGCTGGGGCTGAGGCTGAGGCTGAGGCGGAGGCTGATAGCGATGCAGCAGAGGGTTTAGCACCAAACCCCCCGGGCGGCATCTTCCGCGAATGGGGGTCCACTGTGTCCGGGTTGGATGATGGTCGCTTGCGCTTCCAAGCTCAGGCCCCTTGTCTGTCTCAAGAAGAGAAGAACGGGTCTGTGACCCCAAGAGGACTTTTCCACAAGATGCTCCCGCCAGACATCATCGAACGAATGCTACGCGCCACGAACGATCAGCTCGTGGGCAAACCGCTGTCCAAGGACGAGCTGTTGGGCTATCTGGGCATCCGCATGATAGCTGCCAACTTCTCTTGTTCGGCAGAGCGCTTATGGCGCACCTCCATGCAACAGGGCAGATTTGATACGCGGCCATCGATGCAGGAGGTCATGTCTTTAAGGAGGTTTCGAGCCATCTCGGCAGCATTGCGTCTGACAGACACGCCCTTGCCCGCATATGATGACCCCATTTTTGAGGTCAGGGAGATGGTCAGCTCTTGGAATGAGCACATGCAATCGGTCTTCCGCCCGTCAGATACAGTCTGTCTCGACAAGTCAACGGCAGTCTTGAACAACAAGCGGCGCCCTTCCGTGGTGTTTGTGGGTCGCAAGCCTCATCCTGTGGGCAATGAATATCATACTGTCTGTGACTCGCAGACCAAGATTATGTTGGCCATGGAGTTTGTGGAGGGGCGCACACGGCCGGTGCAACTTGGACTTCCGGAATACGAGGCCGACCACGGGAAGACGACCGGCCTCCTTTTGCGCCTGACCCAAAGCTTGGCCAACCTTTTACCTCGTGCTGTTGTCATGGATAGCGCCTTTTGCGTCGTCGACGCACTCTTCCAACTCAAGCGCAAGCATGGGCTGCTCGCGTGCACGGTTGCGAAAAAAAAGCGATACTGGCCCCGCCACCACGTGCCTGGGGACAATGTCTTGGAGTACATGCGCGACAAACCACCAGCTGAACTCCACGGGCGATACGGCGTGTACGAGGACATGCCATTGCATCTACATGCCGTGAATCATGGTACATACACGTTCATCACGCTCGCCACGTATGGGAGCATCAGACCAACAGGCACGCCGCGATTCTATGAAGCGCCCGATGGTCGCGTCTATCGTTATCGTCGCATCGAGGCTATTGACGACTACTACCAGGCCCGGCATGCTGTCGATGATCACAACTACTTGCGGCAGGGTGGAGGACAATTCTTTGAAGAGGGATGGGCTTCCAAGTCTTGGGGTATCCGCCAGTTCAACTTCATTTTGACATCCAGCCTGGTGAACGCGTACCTTCTGCAGCAACATTTCGTCGCACCAAACGACAACCAACGGCCGCAAACGATGGCTGACTTTTGCCTCGCGGTTGGCACTGAGCTGTGCGACGCATGGGAGGATGCTCGAGCTCGAGACGCTCACGTTATCCCCAGTGCGCGCTCTTCGAGCGGTGGTTCGATCACCCACGTCTTACTGCCGATTCCCAAATTTGAAGGTGCCCGGCCTGGTAAGCGCACCAAAAGTCCGGCACAAGCTTGCCTCTGCAACGGTCTGAGGTGTAAAAGGCGTGTACGCACGTACTGCGCATGCGATCGCCGACTTATTCTGTGCACTTGGTGTCATGCTCTGCATGTTGAGGCCACTGCCATATGAGCAAAATTAAATTGAGAAAGCTCCGTTTGATAAAAAACAATTTCTTGTGAAAGGGCATATGCTAAGTATTTTAGATTTATTTCGAGTAAGCTGACGGTCAATTTGCTCTTGTGAGAGCACCGATAATACTTTTCTTCATAATATGCTCTCTTCTCTCTGATGTGTTGGCAGTGTGTGATCAGTTCTCTGCCTGTCTTTTTGTGGTTCAGTTGCCTCTCTTTGATAGAGTTGTTTCGGTAGTCTTAAAAAGCAACTGAGCACCGTCTTAAGCTCAACCTCTGCCCAACCTCTCCCTCCCAATCCGTCTCTCTCATTTTCTTCATCATTCTCCCCACCCCTCTAGTCGTTGCGGTAAGTGCTGATCTGTGTGTGTGTGTGTGTGTGTGTGTGTGTGTGTGTGTGTCACTGGCAGCCAGGATCGGGATCAGGACGGGACCGGGACCGGGACGGGGACGGGATCGGGCAGGATGGATGGGTAGCAGAAGGATAGTATGCCGGGGGGGGAGGGGTTGCGATTGGGAGGACGCGGTTGTGCACTTCTTGCTGACAGTGTGTGTGCGTGTGGGGCCGTAGTGGAGGCGCTGATTGAACCTTGGCGCACGGGCGCGCTTCCAGTGATCATGTTGAGTGCACGGGCGGTGGCTGTTGGATTTGGACTGGCAGCTCGGATAACACGTACTATGGCCACGGCGTCCCGCGCGGGCAAGGCCGAGCAGCCCTGCTATTACCTCGGTCTGGTGTGTACGATCGCGACGGCCTGCCCCCTCCCTTCTCTCTCTCGCACAAACTGCTGTCGTCTGTCCAGCTGGTCGCACGTGGCAGCTCAATCAGCATGTCGCACGTAACAGGATTCGAGCACTCAGGGACTCAAGGCAACCGTCGTAGACAATGAGCTGGAGATCAAGTTTGCGACCGCCATCAACTTTGATCGTGATCTGCCCCAGTTTGGTACAAAAGGCGGGGCTCACGAAAAGGGCGAGGTCGTGACAGCGCCGGCCGCCATGGTAAATGCGACGCTGTGTGACCCTTGGCACCCATCCATTGTCCCCCCCACCCCGCTTGCAGACTCATGACCCTGCGTCCTCATTTCCCAATTCTCCTCTTGAATCCTCACCGATCAGCTTCCTGCCGCTCTCGAAATGGTGCTGGGCAAGATGAAGGAGGCCCAGTTTGACCTTGGCAACGTGAGGTCGCCCGTCCACGGCCGCCCTTGGCTTTGTGCGCAAAATGCGGGCCTTTTCTTCACGCACGCCCCTCTTTCTCACCTGTTTTGGTGGTTTCGCAGATTGTCTGCATCTCTGGTAGTGGTCAACAACACGGCAGCGTGTACTGGGCCAAAGGTGCGAGCCAAGCCCTGGCCAGCTTGGATCCGGCCAAAGGTCTCCATGAGCAGCTGCAGTATGCCTTTAGCGTCCCCGAGTGCCCCATCTGGATGGACTCTAGTACCACTGAGCAATGCGAGTAGGTTGCCAAGCGCCAAGACTGCGCCAGACGGACCTTTGGGCCAGGGAACGAGTACTGCCGCTCACAACCCTCACCCACTGGCGCATGCTCGTACCCTGCCTGCTGCAGACAGCTGGAAAAAGCCGTGGGCGGCCCGGAAGCCATGGCCCGCCTGACAGGTCGGTGGTTGTGCATGGACCCCGCCTCGCCCGCCCACAGGCGGCTTGTTTTTTTAATTTTTATTTTTCCCCCGAAACGGATGGGTCGTCAGGCCGCTTCCGCTTATGCGTAGCCGGTTTGTTTTAGGCTCCCGTGCCTTTGAGCGCTTTACCGCCAATCAGATTTTGAAAAAATACCAGCAGACGCCTGAAGCCATGGGCAACACAGAGCGCATCAGCCTGATTAGCTCGGCCATGTGCTCACTCCTCATGGGTGCGTATGCTCCCATCGACACAAGCGATGGCGCAGGCATGAACCTCATGGCTCTCGAATCCGAGGTATGATTTGCTGCCCTCGACTCTGTAAGTGTCCACCCGAGCTCACCACTAACGACGAGCTATATGTGCCTTAGAAATGGGCTCCGGAAATCATCGACGCCATCGACCCAAACCTTGGATCACTCTTGGGCTCGCCCAAACCGGCACACGAAGGTATGCTTGGGAGCAAGTCTGGCTGTACTGCTTCGGAGTGGGCTACACGCGCCGGCACCTCACTTTCCACATACACGCGGCCGTGCGTACCAGTCGTTGGCACTATCTCGCCTTATTTTGTGGAGCGCTTTGGGCTGGCCAGCACCTGTCAAATTGGCGCCTGGTCCGGAGATAATCCCAATAGGTGGGCCTAGCCATAGCCGAGCAGACCCAATCGTTGCTGATGCACTGCCTTTGTGCCCTGCTGTATTGCACGCCTGACCAACATCTTGCACTGAACGGGCCACAGCGTTGCTGGGCTTGGTCTCTCCGGTGCTGGCGAGGTGGCGATCAGCCTCGGTACCTCGGATACCATCTTCAGCATCATTGACAAGGCTCAAGCCAACCCTGGTGCGTAGCCCATCCCGATGCGCTCCTTCTGGTCCATGGTGGTTTCACCTGTGTCATCACCCCTCGGACTTGGCAGGTGTCGAGGGCCACTTTTTCCCAAACCCCATCGACATTAAGAGCCACATGGCCATGCTTTGCTATAAAAATGGCTCGCTATCTCGCGAGGCCGTGCGAGACCGCGTGGCGCAGAATGATTGGAGCACTTATCAAGAACTGGTTGAGGTGAGCCATCAAGGCATGGGTCCGATCTGGTGTTTTGTCAGCGCCGCCCTTGCCTGCCACTCTGTACGCCCGAAGCGCGCGTTGATTCTCACTGCTCATGCGCTCTCTCGTGTTGCTCGTATTGGGTAGTCACGGCCGGCTGGTAACGAGGGGTTTATGGGCTTCTTCTTTGATCGGCCCGAGATTATCCCTCACGTGCTGCAGCCGGGCGTGCGTCGCTTTGCACCGGACGGCTCGCGCTTGGACGCTTTTCCCGAGCCCTCCATCGAGGCCCGCGCCGTTTTGGAGAGCCAGTTTATGAGTATGCGCTCACACGGCACCAAGCTGGGCTTGGACCCCCACGACATTATTGTCACGGGTGGCGCATCGGCCAACAAAACCATTGTGCAGGTTATTGCCGACGTCTTTGGCTGCCCAGTGCGAGCTGCGGCGCAGACCGACTCGGCCTCACTGGGCGCAGCGTATCGTGCGTTGCATGCATACAAGTGCCAGGAGGCAGGGGCCTACGTCTCCTTCCGTGATGCCTTGGGTCATGACACGCAAGCGCATTTCAAGCTCGTGGCAGAGCCCAACATGGAGAACCACAAGGTCTACACAGATCTTTTGCCCCGCTATGAGGAGCTTGAAGCTCGCGTGGTTGGCGAAAATCGTCGTTCATAGGTTCATAGTGTGTGTGTGGTCCCCATTAACGGGCTCCTCCATCAACGGGGGCTTCAAACATCGGATGTGTGGATGCAAATTGAACTTGTTGATAGGATGCTCTGTTATTTAATTCATTTTGAGGCTGCACCGTAACGCCTCGAGCTCGATGGAGTCTATGAAGCCTCTGCAGGGATGTGAGTCCATCAAGCTGCAAGGAAAATATAATATCACACCCAAGGATGTAAAAAAAAAATAAAAAAAAATAAAAAAAAATTCAAAAATCGTCGCTTCATTTTTTAAGGTTACACAGCCACTTTTTATTTTACAAATCAGCTGGATTTGGGTGGCGCGGTGGCGGCAGCGGATTGAACGACGATGCCACTGATCAAAGCGAGAAAGTCGCGCCCGGGGGCTGGGACCGGGGCTGGGGCCGGGGCGGGACGGCGGTTGACGAAGCAGCAGCCCGTGTTGCGGCGGGAGATTCCTTGTCGTTTGGCGGTGTGTGCGCATGACGTGTGTCGGCGGGCGCTGGCGGCGGGGGCGTCGTCGGCGGTGCTGCACCTGCGTGACGGTGAGGGGCCGCTCGTGGTGGACGCGGCGGCCGCCGTCGTGTACTGGGAGCTGTTTTATCAGTACCATCAGTCTTGGCCCGCGCTCGTGGTACCGCAGACCGCCTACCGGGCTGTGCAGCAGCAGGGCGGGCGCAACGACTGGCGCTCGCTGCAGGATGCGGTGCGCGATCCTCGATATAACATCGTGACCTTTGCCAACGAGTTTCACTGCGACCTTGCCGATGCTGCAGCTGATGATGCGCAGGCTGCAACACCGGACGAAGCACGCCGACGCATCGTGGCCACGGCCCAATGGTACGCTCATCACGCCCAACGGCCCACAGCCGTGTTGACGACGGCAGATGAACAGCTGGCGTACGGCGATCTCCCCGCGGCCGCTGGCGTGGCCCTCCACACCGTCGAAGAGCTCGTTACCTCCATCTTTGGAGAACAAGCGCCCGCTGCGATCCTGGCCCAGACGCTGGCCACACGAGCCGAGACCCTTCGTGCGGGTGCAGCCGATGGTCTCGCGGCCAACGCCCACGGCTACGTGCCCCACCTTCCCGAAGATGAACTGCTGACTGGCGTCGCAAGCGGCATGTTTCTACGCGGCCGCCTGCATGTCCAAAATTGGTATGCTCACTACGCATGCTCACTCTGGGTCACGGGCAGAGCGGGGTCACTCACCCACCCGCTGCCCTCGCTTGCTTCTTGTTAGCGGCCGGCTGGCCTATGTCCGTGACCGCTTCACACAGGACGATGAAGTGCTGCTGCACCAGGACATTCGCATCGACGGCTTGGCCGCTCGCAATCGAGCCATTCATGGTGATGTTGTCGTCATTGAGGTGCGGTCACGAACAACGCAGCGGGTCGTGCCATCTCATTGCCCGTATGTGCGTGTGTGCGTGCGCGTACTGACGCCGTGGCTTGGCTACATGATACTCATGGGTCGATGCATGGCAGGTTCTGCCACGGGAGCAATGGGCCTCGGCCAGCCGACGCATGGGGCACGTCGTTGGCATTCTCGAGCGCCGCTGGCGAGACTGCGTTACCACCATTCAACAAGACGACGTCGAGCGCAACGGGCGGACAGCCTACATGGTGCCGCTGGACCCGCGCTTTCCAAAAGTCCGCGTCCACGCCAACAACAAAACAGGCTATCAGGACAAGCGTGTCGTCGTGCGCATCGATGAATGGCCTCTGGACCGCATGTTTCCCGAGGGCCACGTCATTGACGTTCTCGGCAACCGAGGTACGCGCACGGCGACCTGAGCCTTCTGCACACATTCCCCAAATGCAGTGGATTGGCTTTGATGTCTTCTCTGAACTCTGATAATAGGTGACATCGATGCCGAAATCAAGGCCATTTTGCTGGAGAACGAGCTAGCGGCCACCGACTTTACCCCAGCTCAGGTAAACGTAGTCGCTCAATATGCACCTGCGCCCTGGCTAGTGCTGCGCACGACCCTGCGACCCACGGTCTGCTGGTCTGGCCCGGTTTGCCTTTGATTGACTAACCTTTTGCCCATTGCCGACGTTTAGTTGGCCGAGATGCCCGTCAACACACCGGAGCAGCCTTGGTTCCCCGATCCTGACCAAGTGGCACAACGGCGCGACCTGCGTGACTCCCACCTCATTTTCAGGTTGCTTTGATGGCGTGCTGTCGGGATGGTCTTGGCATCATGGATAAGTGCATGTGTGGCGCTCTGGGTCTCATTTGGCATCCTTTGATCTGTGTTGTGGCTTAGCATTGACCCGCTCGGGTGTGAGGATGTGGATGATGCCCTTGGCATCCGGGATCTGGGCAACGGGCGCGTGGAGGTATCGGTGCATATTGCAGACGTGTCGCACTTTGTGCGGCCTGGGATGTTGACAGACGCCGAGGCGCGCAACCGCTGTACAACCGTGTACTTGGCTGACCGGCGCCACGACATGCTGCCGGCGGTATTGAGTGCCGACCTGTGCTCCTTGCATGACCGCGTGGATCGCTATGCCATGAGCGTCATTTGGGAGCTATCGGCTGACGGGCAGATTGAGAAGCAGTGGTTTGGGCGCACCCTCATCCGCTCGGCATACAAGCTGCACTACGAGCTGGCGCAAGCTATCTTTGATGGATCCGAGGAGGCAGCGGCGCTTGCAGCATTGCCGACGCTACGGGAGGTATCAGGACCGGCACGAGAGGCACGGGTTGCGGAGTTGCGGAAGGCAATACGCCAGCTGATTTTGACTTCTCGGAAACTCAAGGCACAGCGCCACGCGGCAGGCGGGCTGCAACTGGCCAGTGACGAGCTCCGGGTGAGTTTTGCCAGCGGCTCTCGGGAGATTCGAGGTCTCACGTCAAAGGAGGAGCTTGAAATTCACGGCGTTGTCGCCGAGTTTATGATTTTCGCCAACGCGGCTGTAGCCGAGCGCATTGCACGGCGGTTTCCTTCCAAAGCCCTTCTCCGGCGTCACCCCCTACCGGAGCAGGCGCAATTCGAGGAACTGCGCGCGGTGGCGCGACACCTGGAGGTGCCTCTGGACACGAGCTCCAACCTAGCTCTAGCTGAGAGCCTTGACGCGGCTGGTGCGATTGTTGGCCCGGCGCGGGAGCGCATGCTGCGCATGCTTGCCACGCAGGCCATGACGGAGGCCGAGTACTTTTGCACCGGGGCGGTGGCGGCGGATCAATGGTTTCACTACGGTTTGGGTCTGCAGTATTACACGCACTTTACCTCGCCCATTCGTCGTTACGCCGATGTTATTGTTCATCGGCAGCTCATGGCTACGCTCGAGTCGGACGGTTCCAGTCTGCCCACGAGTCATGACGTGGCCAATATGAGCGCCCTCATCAACTTGCGCAATCGCAGTGCCAAGGCTGCACAACAGCAAAGCGTCGATCTTTACCACGCGCTGTATATACAGCAGGAGCTGGGCCGAAGCTCCAACGAGCACGCAGAGACCCTGGAGGTGCCCGCAGTGGTATTCCATGTGCGTGAAAACGGCGCGCTCTGCTATGTGGCCGATCCGGGCTTTCGCATGTTTGTCCCCTTTGAGGTACCTAGCCGCGAGGACGGCAGTCAGGCCCCGTCTAGCGCTGCCCCTCTTGTTGAGATGCGTGGTAAGCTTGCGTTTTCGAAGACGTGTATGAGGAGCGGAGGCTTGAAGCAAGGAAGACAGAGAGTAAGGCAGGGACGGGGGTGGAAAGAGGAAAATGAGGGATGGCCGGCATAACCTCGTCTTTTCTCACACATTGGTGGCAACCTGTTTTCCAGGCGGCGTGAAGCGCGTGGTGCGGTTGGAAGATGGCGAGTGCTGGCTGGAAGGGCCAAAGGAGGCAGACCGGCAGGCGTTGGAGCCCATGACGCGGGTCACGGTGGGACTGGACGTCAACAACTACCCTTACCGGTTGCTGTCTTTGCGGGCACGACTGCTGGATGTTCTGGGGCCGGCGAGTGATTCGACCAATGTCGCGGCCAGCAAAGGCACGCGCACCAAGAAGCTGTTGCCCCGCGAGGGCAAGACCCGTGATACACTGACACCGGCAGAGGGGTTTGAAGATAGTCTGTACCGGGCCTTGTGTGGGTTTCAACAGCTGGCTTTGCACGCAACGGACGAGGTGGAGCCGGAAGAGGGTTAGGGCAGCCTGAAAGACCGTGGTGGCAGGCATATCGATTGATTGATCAGGGCTTGAATTGAACACAAGGAACGGGCGGGGGTGAAATGCATGATGGCGGACGACAAAACACACAAGTTAAGAGAATGCAAGTTAGGAGAATGAGATTATCCCGGTTCCAGAGGCCAGGCGACCGACCAGCGGTCAAGGATGAGTGAGCATGGGATGCAAAGGGATGAGAAAGACGGTATCCACTGCTCTCCCTCAAAATCGAAGCACATGGGGCAAAGAGAGTGGACGGGGGAAGAAAAAAAGAAGACGAAGGATGACAGGGCACTCTGGAAAATTTAGCAAAAGCACAGGCGCGCATGTGCAGGCCGGCCCGAGACTGGGGATGCAGTCCTATTTTAGTGTGTGTTGCGTCTAGTGGAACACGAAGGAATCCATGGAGAGCATGCCGAAGCGCATGTCACCTTCGAGAACCTCGACCTTGCCGTCTTGGCTGGCAGCACCGGCCGCAAAGAGGAGGGGCAGGTAGTGGTCAGGGGAGGGGTGGGCGCGGGCACCATCAGGGTTGTCCAGGTAGTTGCAGAGGGCATCCTTGTTGTGATCGACGACATTCTTGCGGACCCAGGCTTCGAAATCAACGGCATAGCGAGCGTTTGAGCCGTGCGTGTGGGAGCGCCACTCCATGAGGTTGTGGGTGATACTGCCCGAGCCCATGAGGAAGATGTTGTCGTTGCGGAGGGGGGCGAGGGCGCGGCCCATGGCCCAGACTTGCTCAGGCTTGTAAGAGTAAGGGATGGAAACTTGGAGAACGGGAATGTCGGCCTTGGGGAAGAGCATCTTGAGGGGGACCCAGGCACCATGATCGAGGCCACGGCGGGGATCAATGTCGGCCTTGATGCCGGCCTGTTTGAAGAGGCCGACAATCTTGTTGGCGAGGTCGGGGGCGCCGGGCGCGGGGTACTGCATTTCATACATTTCACGAGGGAAGCCGCCAAAGTCATGAATGGTCTCTGGCATGGGAGCGGCGGACACGCGGAGGCCCGAGGATTGCCAGTGGGCAGAGACGACGACAATGGCCGAGGGCTTGGTTGGCTCGACTAGGCGACGGCCGAGGCGATTCAGGTTGGCACCGGCGACTCCGGGCTCCAGCACAAAGGTGGGGGCACCGTGGGACACGAACAGCACGGGAAGCGCGGTCATCATGCAGGTCAAAGCCGACGCAGCTTTTGCCGAACAGGACATGGGGATCTAGAGAGAGAAAAGGGGAGAAGGGGGTGAGACGGGCGCGTCAGAAGCAGCAGGACAGCCGTCATGCACATGGAGACAGTACCACGCGCACAATAATACCTCGAGATGAAGTTGTCAACGTACAGACAAAAAGGCCGAGTTGTCCAAGTGAGATCAAGGTCAGGCAGGCAGGCAGGTCCTCTAAATACGAGAGAGAGGAAGGAGACGGAAGGAGACGGAGGGAGAGGGGAGGGAGGAGGGACGAGGTCGAGGACGAGGTCGTTGATGTTGATCCCGAGAGAGAGATGCAAAAAAATGCCGAAAACGCGAGCATGAGAGAGAGATGTTGGAAGAGAGGGCGCGACGCAGATGCAGAGAGCGGGTGTGCAAGGGTGGTGTGTTGTAGAGGTGTGTGCCAAGTACGGATTTGTTTGTGTGGTGCTGTAAAGGTGAAACTAGAGAGTGGTGGGTGCGGATGATGTGCGATCAGAGGGAGAGGGTGACCTTGAGCGATCATGCCAACAGCATGTGCACGCGTGTGGTATTTTAGCTTTATAACATTACTAATACGCCTGTGTGGGTGTGGTGTCGGGGGTGAGGATAATTACAGAATCACATGTCATGGATCTTCACAGATAGTATCTACTTTTCTAGGATCGACTGACGCTGGTTGGCTAAACGTGGTCGCGAAAGTGACAGAGAATTGGTCTGTTTCATCAAGGAGCGGGTCCCTCAAGTCATGGTGAGCAAATGGTGGCATCTCTCGTCATGATGATGAGAAGGTTCAGCCATGAGGTCCGCCTCTGATTCTATGTTCGAATCTGAGGTTTTTCTGCTTTGGTGTATGTTTTAAGTGGGGATGGTTGATATGCCGGGATGAAACCTCTGCCCATGATCACCCCGTTGGTATTTCTCTGAATGACTCCATCTCTGCATTTGCCTTAATTTCCAGTCATGACGATGACGCTCTTGGACTCCCATCTCTTTGACATGCAAAGGCAGCTGCCACTGAGTGCGAGAGAGAGAGAGAGAGAGAGAAGAAAGAGCCATGATAACGAGAGGCACGAAGAAGTAATAAATTACCACACGTAATTAAAAGAGTGAGAGAGAGAGAGTTTGAGTTTGAGAGTTTGAGTTTGAGAGTTTGAGTTTGAGAGTTTGAGAGTTTGAGAGAGAGAGAGTTTGAGAGTTTGAGAGAGTTTGAGAGAGAGAGAGAGAGAGAGAGAGAGAGAGAGAGAGAGAGAGAGAGCTAGCAACTGGCAGAGTGAAACGGCAGCTGGGCTCAAGTACAGCGCGAGTGCGCGCGCGAGAGAGAAGGACGACAGTGTAACATGATGGCGGCCATGCGCAGAAAAGACCCCATCGCCATGAAGACAATCGCCTTTGTGAGGGCCGATGGGATGAAGGGCTACCTTCGGGATGATGGTAGCATCTTGTATCGCGGATAAGGCGCATCTTGTCGCCATCGGGGCGCACGTCCCTCTGGTCATAGAGGGGAACGGGTGCAATTTGTGGCCATAAACATGAAAAGGGCCACCCCTATGGTCATAGAGGCGCGCATCTGGTCGGCATTAAGATAGAGGCACGCATCCTGTAGGCATAAGTCGTACTTCATGGCCATAGGAGGGCTCATCTTCTCAGCACATGGATAAGGGCATACCCCGTACGACCATATAGCAGGGTTGCATCTGATTGATTGGCATAAGGAGAGGGGCGTGGGGCGTACCCCTATGGCCATCGCAGGGCGCATCTGATTGGCATAAGGAGAGGGGGGGGGGTACGCCCCCCTATGGCCATAGCAAAGCTCATCCGATCGGCATCAGGAGAGGGACGGACCCCTCCTATGGCCTTATCTGATCGGCATGAGGAGAGGGGCGTATCCCCCCTATGGCCTTAGCTGATAGGCATGAGGAGAGGGGCGTACCCCCCCCTATGGCCATAGCAGGGCGCATTGTGCCATAAGACGCCACAAAAACGAGAGAACCGAGCGCGCGACGAGAACAAACGGCAGCGCTGCGACGTCCTCCGGGTCCCCTGGGTGGTGTGAGGCACGAGGTTGGTAAATGCATTTGTCATTTGTTGTGAAGCGGTTGCGTCGGGGTGCTCTCTCGCCAGGCGTACCGGGTCAGGTCAGAAAGAATGAAACATGCGTCAGTTGAATCGGCTCTCATCGACGCGCCCGGGGCAGCTCGTGGCACGGCTGTAGATTCGCTGCTCGGAATGCCCCCGTCGTGATGGCGCAGTCGGTTAACGCGGGGCATGGAGCCCGCCCAACCCTCCGACTCTGGCGTTTTCCGGTGCTGCCTTGGCTGTCCGCGCTGCTGTTTCTCCTGTTCCACATGTATGTTGCTTCCCCTCTTTTGGCCGCGGTACCAGAAGCTGTGCCCTTCTTCCGGCCCGCACTGCGTTTCCAAGCCAAAACCAGGCCTTCATTCTTCCAATCCCCGTTGACACCTCGACCTGGTACTCGCCTCCTCCAATCGCGCTTCATTGCAGGTCGGCGGGCCGACCCAGACCCGACAGCCTTGCCGTCAACATTACAAAGTGGTACGAGCCCTTTCCGTCAAGTCATTCGACAGGTGGTTACCACGTCTTTGGCCTAAAACACAAGTTTTATGCCTGCCTTCTCCCAAAGGTAGGACGCCACGCCGCGTCTGTGCATTCTGTGCCCAACGACCCTCGCACCTGTTGCATTACACCCTCATCTGCCGTTTCCCTTCGGCCCTCACCGATCCGACCAACCCACGCGCAGGTCGCTTGCAGTGAATGGTTGACCTACTTCAGACGCAGCCTGTTGCCTCCAGATGTGCTCGCCACCGTCCCCAACGTGTATACCCGCGTCAACTATCCGGATCATGATTTGTACTTTCGCTTCCACGGGAACCCGGAAAGTCACGCCATGGTCGACAAAATAGCCTTGGATGATTCCTTCTTCCGGTAGCCTCCATGCCCGTGACTGTTGTTAGCCCGGCCAACGTTGGCTTTCAAGTTTTCTCAACCATGCAACGCCTGCTATTCTTTTCGTCACCCCTCAGGTTTGCCATTGTGCGCCATCCCTGGGATCGTATTGTGAGCGGCTATCGCTCCAAGTTCGAGGTGAGATTGAATCCCTAAAATGTTTACACATGGCCCCGCCCAAATTCAGCGGCCATTTCTCATGGCGAACCTGTGACGTAGGGCGATTGCCGACACGATCCGGCCTGCCTCGTCAAGTCTTATCGCTTTCCCAGTCACGTGGCAAAGCTTCCATATCTGACCTTTCATCAATTCGTGCAGGTTTGTTACAGATAAACAGGGTCCAAAAGCAAAAAAAAAGGGAAGAGGCCCTTGTGTGTGTGTGTTATTTTTTTTTACAAAGCCAACGTTAACACACCTCGTGACGTGGTCGTATGGCAGGAACTCTTCAAGCAGGCACCGGCAGACATGGACCCCCACTTTCGTCCAGCTCACTACATGTGCGAATTTGGCAACTTTCCGTACGACGCCCTCCTCGACCTATCGGAACCCGAGGAAATGGATCACGTCGGCGAGAGGCTTGGCTTTGAATTCACCTTTTCCCAGGCAAGCGCCGTCGTCTCGCGAGGAAGATTCATGTTTCTGCAGTCCCTCACAGACTGTATCGGTTCTCGACGGCTAATTTCGTTTCGGCAGTTTGTGGCCACCCACACCGCCAAGTACAACTCGAGTACCTACTTTGGCGGACGCACCCACACCGTCTTTCCGTGCAATGCCCAGACAGTCAAACTAGTCCAGGTATGATATGTATGTGCGTTGGCTTGTTTTTTTGTCTCTTGCCCTGAGCCTTGCACGCTCACCACTGGACTTTTGTCGCGCGCGCGGAGCAGCTCATCTATGCAGCCGATGCTGCTTTCATGGGTTACAATTTTACCCACGCCTATGAATCCTGTATCATGCACGGACTGAGCAAGGCAAGTGTGCGTGCCAAAGGATGGCATACGCTACTGGTTGCACATCTGTGCAGTCGCGCTGGTCTTTCAGTCTTTGTGCCCGAGCCTGTCTCACTGCTGTGCAACATGCAGGTTCCATCTGAAAAGGATGTTGTCATGACGGCTGCTAAGCAAGCCGAGATGGCTGCAAATAGTGCACACAATGACCACGCCGCCAACAGCACGCCACAAGCCAAAAAGCCAGCGCCGTATCCATTCCCAGGTCCTCATCGCCCACGACCCCTTTCCTCACGTCATTAAGAACAGCGAGCAACAACTCGTCAGATTGAGGCTTTTCAAGTGGTGAATGGAGTGAGTCAGAGAGATAGAAAGAGAGAGAGAGACAGTGTGTGTGTGAGTGGATAGACCAAGAGATTGCACGGAGAAGCGAGAATTTGCGAGATCGATTTGGTGCCTGTCGATGGTCTGCTCTTACATATTTCTGATATCTGGTCTCGAGGAGGACATTCGACTCGATATACAAGAGGTGTGTGCGCCTGTCAGCCCATGAGGGGCTGGCTGTGCCTTTGATAACTATAATAGACTGATGAAAACGATGCAATCATAAATAAAATAAAATCAGAAACGGAGCTCTGTCACACACAAGAGGCGGACGCCAATCAGTACACGACGGCGGCAAAGCCGTTTCGGGGACTGGGCATGGGAGGGGCGGCTTGCCAGGCCGTGCCATTGAAGCGTTCCACCGAGGCCAGGTCCACCTGGTTGCGCCCGCCCATGACGTACAAGCCATCCCCCAGAACTGCAGCCGCTAAAAAGTAGCGGGCAGTGTTGAGGGGCGTTCTGGTTTGCCACGTCTGCCCGACCAAGACCTCGACGAGGGCGAGCACGCCCACTCCGTTGGGGCCCGAGTGGCCTCCTAGCGCATAGATGCTATTTTCAAAAACGACCGCGGTCAACGCGTAGCGCGCCACCTGCGTGCTGGGCCCCGGGCGCCATGCTGTGCCGTTGAAGATCTCGGTCACGGCCAAGACGGAGCCGTTTCGGCCCCCAATGAGATATATCTCATCTTGAAAAACGACAGCGGCGGCATCGAGTCGCGGGAAAGACAAAGGGGCTGCTTCGGTCCACGTGCTGCCGTCAAATCGAAAGACAGCGGTCGGTCGGTCTGTCCCCATCATGCCGCCAATGACGTAGAGCGCATTTTGAAAAGTCACTGCTGACAGGCGGCCCCGGGCTTGAGGCAAGGGTGGAACTGGCCGCCAGACCAAGCCGTCCAGGACCTCAACCGCTGCCGTTGTGATTGGCGCGGAGCCGTCCATGCCCATGTAATACAGCCCACCCAGGACGTACAAGCCGTCGTTTAGAACAGCGGCGGCCAAGCTAAAGCGAGGCGTGGGTAGGGCGGCTGTGGACCACCAGCGCGTGCCGTTGAACATGTACACCTGCTCGCTCATGTTGCCGTTGAGGCCACCCACAACGTAGATTTGTGGCTCGTACAATGGTACCCGCCGCAGCCGAGCCTCGAGACGCGCCTGGGCCGCCAGCAGCTCCGCCTGCGCCTGCAACAAGTCGGCACAGGCGGTCTGCAACGCCTGCACGTCCACACCATCCACCAGCACCCGCCCGCCCCCCGGCACACGCGAGCTATTTATCACCAAGTTGCCGGCTGCATCCGTGCCAATGATTGCCTCCTCAAGGTCCCCAGAGCCCACTGCCAGTCCCATCACCAGCAGCAGCAGCAGCAGGCCCAGCCCCAACAGCCGCAGCTCACGCCCCCTCTTCATCATGATGCGGCGATGAGAGAGAGAGAGAGAGAGAGAGAGAGATGAATTGGTTTGGTCGGTTTGAGAAAGAGAGAGAGAGAGAGTTTGAGAGAGAGAGAGAGAGAGTTTGAGACTTTGAGAGAGAGAGAGAGAGTTTGAGACTTTGAGAGAGAGAGAGAGAGAGAGAGTTTGAGAGTTTGAGAGTTTGAGAGTTTGAGAGTTTGAGAGAGAGAGTTTGAGAGAGTTTGAGAGTTTGAGAGAGTTTGAGAGTTTGAGAGAGTTTGAGAGTTTGAGAGAGAGAGAGAGAGAAAGAGAGAGAGAGAGAGAGAGAGAGAGAGAGAGAGAGAGAGAACTGACAATATTTGTGGCTTCAACATCAGCGCCGTGCTTCAATAAAATCACCGCGATTTTCAAATGCCCGTCTGCGCAGGCATAGTGCAGTGGTGTCCAGCCATCCTGCATGAAGATTTGCATACCAGCAACAATGCATTCGACGATCATGAGAGAACAATTAAGATGCAGGTGAATGACAAAGGTAGGTTGCAAAAAAGAAGCAGCCAACGTCGTTTTTGACTTTTGGATTGGCCTCGTGACTCAACAGCGTGTCCACTAGCTTTACATTGCCTTTCAAACAGGCCTGGTGCAGTGGCGTCTGGCCATCCTAGAAACAATCAAACCCAATTGAAATCTCAAACAATGAATAGAACACGGCGCAGCATGATGTCCCGCAACGGTCAAACGTGGTTCGGAGCGCAACTTACGTCAGTTCGGGCGTTTGCATCGGCCTTCATTCTCAAAAGCAAAAGAGCAACATCCTCGTGGTTTTCCATGCAGGCCCAGTGGAGTGCTGTGTAGCCACCCTGCAAAATTGCGACAGGCGTACTCATTCCAAATGAGATTGTTGAAGAGATGGGTGAGAAGATGTGGCCCATCAACTGCATCAGATAACAGACGCACGGCGGTTGTTGCGTCGATGACGACCCGCTTGTCTTTCAGCAAGAATTCTGCAACCGCTACATGTCCGTTTCCGCAGGCTTCGTGCAACACTGTTACATTAGACTAAAACACACAAGCATGATCGCAGGTTGAGAACAGGGGCGCCCAAAACGATCATGGCAGCAAAGCGAAAAGAGGCAAAGCTTACGAAGGTCTTTGCAGACACATCGGCAGCATGCGCCACTAGGGCTTCCACGACGAGCAAATGGCCACGAGTACATGCCCAATGCAAAGGCGTGTAGCCATTCTAGTATTGAGTTTTAATTTAAGGGAAAAAAAAACGGTGTGAGCGGCAAGCGAAGTGAGCGCAAGCAAACAACCACTCGGAACTCACATTGGTCTTCGCGTTGATGTTTGCTTTATATTCGGTCAGCAACCTTTCGACCAAGTCTTTGTGCCCAAAGCTGCATGCCAAGTGCAACGGTGTCCACCCACCCTTGATAATGGTACCAAGAAAAAAAAAAAAAAAAAAAAAAAAAAAAAAAAAAAAAAAAAAAAAAAAAAAAGGTTGAGCGTGATCGCAAAGACAAACCTGTAACCTGATATACAAAGGCGAACGTACATTTGTCGAGGCATTAACATCGACTCCAGGTTGCTCGAGCAAAAGATCCACGAGATCCAGAGACCCATCTTGGCAAGCCAAGTGCAAAGCCGACTCGCCCTCCTGAGCATGCCAAGTGAAGTGACTCGATGCGGGTTTGTTGGCGAGGAAGGGCCACGCGAAAAATGTATTGAAGGCAACTCACGTGACTTTTTAGGGTTGGGTCAGCTCCAAATTTCAGCAGTGTGTCAACCACGGCAATGTGCCCAGTTCTGCTGGCGAGGTGCAGTGCCGTCATGCCGTTCTGCAAATGTAAGGCAGAACAGTGAGGCGCTACGTTTGAAGGCAGAGCGTCTGTTTGCAAGCCCGCGTGCCTACGTTATCACGGAGAGACAAATTCGTATCCTGCGCTTCGGCTAGGCGCTTTGCAATCTGATCATAGCCACCTGTGGCTGCCAGATGCAGCGGTGTACGACCGTCCTAGGTGCAGGGCAGATGCGAGTCATGTGATTCAAGCCCAGGGCTGAAAAACGATATGCGCTCACAGCGCGTGTGCGATTGCTCGAGCATACCTCCAATTGTGCATTCACTTGAGGCTTGTGAGATAGTAAAACGCGAACCATGTCTGAGTCCCCCGTCTCGCAAGCATAGTGCAGTGGTGTGCGCTTGTCCTATGCACAGCAAGGAGGCTCAGCATTGAGCTCACGATTTTTGCGCATGGTCATGGACGGGTAATGGATAGGTGCATACCGCCAGAATAAGCGCATTGATGGGGGCACCATGGTTCAGCAGGAGCTGGACGACCTCAGAATAGCCCCTGATTGTGGCGCAATGGAGTGCGGTCCAACCATCCTATAGAAGCAGAGCGCGAAAGTCAGCAGAGATTCTCTTCACAGACGAGCCAGTCATGCGGTGCGCGTTTGTACCTGGGAACGTTGTGTCGCAGCAGCGCGCATGCGTGGCGGGGGCCATGTGTTCAACAACCGAAGCGCGTCTGCAGAATCACTTGCGTTGCAAGCGCGCCAAAGTGCTGCGGCGTCACTCATGCTTCGGGCTGCCGTTTCTTCGCCGAGCACAAACGAAAAAAATGCGTCAAAAGCAACAACAATAAAACAAAAGACAGTCAACTTGTGGTGATGCCAATCAACATTAAATTTTGGATTCCTGTTGCTTGTATCTCGAACCAGTTCAGTTTCTCTTGCTCGAACGTCCTGTGTGTGTCGTGCTTGGATTCCAACGAAACGGCAAGATGAATCGCTTGGATGTGGTTAATCAAGGCCGCATTGAGGCGAATCAAGCGGAAACGGCAGTTTATCCTGTGCTTTCTCGTCAGGAAGCGATTTATTCACTGCCATTGGCACCCTTTAATGAAGCGAATCGTGCCCCCCCGATTGCACTCAACAATGCCGTGCAAGCGCTCAATCCTACCCGCTAGCCGCTTGGCTTCAGTGATTGCCGCGCCCTTTTTTCTCCCAGTGTTTGGTTGGTGTATCGTGAATCTGGATGTGCAAGGGCATAGTCGTAGACTTTCATTGTCTGTGATGCATGGAGTTTGCATGAGTGCGCGCGACGCGCGTTGCCTGGCTTACTTTTGTTTTGCCTGAGCTTCAAGCTGACTGACTGACTGACTGTCTTTAAATGTGAATCTTTGTTTTCCTTGTACATGTATACCTGTTCAGCCTGTTGCTTTCGTCGTTGCGCAGTTGCCGGTTGGGTCGTCATCACCTGCCCCCGAACGATCAATTGACATGTGAGCAAGATTCATGCGTTACAGTGATGCCACGGCTGTTTTTGGCACGCTGATTGTCTGGTCGGTCAACGTCATTCCGATCGATTATGGGCCCTTGGGTGTTCTTGAAAACGAGCCCGAGCATGCTGATTTGTGGGTGTGGGGCATCTATGTGCGCAAGGAGTCCCGCCCATTCGGTGCGTGCCGAGCAGTGGGAAACAATAACACATCAAGGTACACGCAAACCCCAAAGAGGCTAGAAAAAAGACGCTCATCAAGAGCTACCCAGCTGCCAAGCCGTCTAGCCAGCCCAGTTGCCCGACTGCGTCTGTCGTGGTGAGGAGAAAGAGAGTGTGAGAGGGTTTGAGAGAGAGGAGAGAGAGAGAGTTTGAGAGAGAGAGAGAGTTTGAGAGAGAGAGTTTGAGAGAGAGAGTTTGAGAGAGAGAGAGAGAGTTTGAGAGAGAGAGTTTGAGAGAGAGAGTTTGAGAGAGAGAGTTTGAGAGAGAGAGAGAGAGAGAGAGAGAGAGAGAGAGAGATAACAGCAAAAACCCAGAGAAAGACGGAACATTGAGCGTACATCGGATGTGTCGCCCATATTTGGCATAGTCAGATAAGAGCTACTGGTCGACGCTTTGCACCCACCAAGCAATCACGAAACGATGTTGAACGACCCCCTCATTTGGTTGTAGATCATCGATGCCACATGGCTTGTTCAATTTAACAACAGTCAACAGTCAACAGACACCAAGTGAATAGAGCACGACGTATCCTAATTGGCCGTGTAGTAGACCACGAGCTCAGGATAGATTTGCGAACTGTCAAACAAAATGACCTCATGACATTCTCCCAGCGGCGTCGCAATGACAGAGTCATATCTAAAAAGAAAAAAAAAAAAAAATACGATGGAGACACAGCAGGCGGGTCAAAAGATGACTACAGGCACTTTCTGGTATGCAAAACAACCGCTTATTGCCCAACGCACCGCTCATTGTTGGGTGCATCAGGCAGAAGCGGAGGGGCCAGTGCACCGGACGGAGGTGATTGATGAACAAAGGCATGGCCCAGCAGCGCTCGTGTGATGATGAGCGTCCGCTCATCGTTTGGGCCAAGCCGATGCAAACGACCTGGCGGCTCGGTATATCGGTGGCTCTACATCATGGTAAGCGCCATGAGAATACGCAGTAGCGACAACAACAACAGGATAGCCGCCCCATGATCACACACCTTGCCGGGATGGTCCGCCAAGTAGACACCAAGACCAAAGCGGTGGCCGGCGCGGCTGCCAGCAAAGCGGCAGTCAAAGCCCAAGCGCACAATCTTGTCACGTAACATCGTGTCAAATGCGATGCCGTGGAGCAGCAGGCGCTCTTGACAGGGTGCATCGCGAAGCAAAGCCGGACAGCCTGAAAGCGCATCTACTGTGGCCGTTCGAAGCTGCGTGCAATGCTCCTGGTGCGTGATGCGGCGCAGCATCTCCCGTCGCTTGGCGCTGTAGCGTTCCCACAGCACGGGGTTGTGCACGCGCTCCACTCGCTGCACCTGAAAGTTAGCTGGCCCTTGCCCGTCAATGCTCAGCTGCTTCAACAGCTCAGCAACCTAGTTGCACGGTACATCCAAATCAGTCTTCATGTCGAGGTAAGCATTGCATCAACAACGAACGCACCTCTGGGATAAGCTCGGGTGAATTGCGCAAAACTTCAATGGCTGGCCCGGCATGGGCGGCGACAGGTCGTTCTGCAATCTGCCGGCCGCTCAATA